GAATAAAAATCGGGTGTGGCAAACGGATTTCGTTTGGCTGCGATAAGTGTCGGGAGGAAATGTTCCATTTTGAGGAAAAAAAAGAAAAAAGGAGACGTTTTTGACGCAAGTAGCGCGGAGGAGGTATAAAGAAACAAAAAATGTTATATAAAGAGTAATTTAGGTACGGCAAGGGCGTGAGCTCTCGAAAAAAAATACTTAGGATAATGTTATCTTATAACAAAAAAAAAAAAACAAATTGTCCTTTGAATGAAAAAAAGGAATAAATATTTAAAGTACAGTATCTTGCTTTATTTCGTAACCCTCCGTTTTTTTTTTTCTGCAAAAAAGCCTAAGGATTTTATAGTGTAATTATCATTACAGAGTGCGATATTGTTCATTAAAAAAAACAAACAAAAAAAAAACAACGCAACTTCTCCAGATACATGGGACTTTATTTTGCACCCAATACATTCAAGCAAGCATTCACATTTAATTGTGGAAAGATACATTTCCGAGAAGTTATCTGCGATACTTGAACGCGTGACGATCTGTGTGTGAAGAATAAAAAAAAAAAAATATTCAAAACTACTAAGGGTTTTTACGCATTTATACAACTTAATACAACAACTTCGTCTATTGAAGAAAGAAGAGTTTGAACGCTCGATATAACGCTAAAGTAGAATTAAGCTTTGCGGATGTTCCTCTTTGTGTGACAATGTTTTATCGCGACAATTGTTTTGATTTTCCAGGTGACGATTCGTCACGTTCTGGTGCTCGCGCGCAGTCTATCGCGAAAAACAGCATCGCGTGCTCCCCCCCTCCCCCAGATGAGTTTTGTGTTTTAGAGAAACAAACATCTCTTAAACAGATCACAAACTAAACTAGAAAACAATCGCGGATCAACCGTGTTTTCGTAGATTTCGGCTTCGCTCGTAAAGAGAGGACGCGCGTAGAAGTAATTTGTACTATACACACACAGCCACGATTCAACCGTATACACACACACATACATACATACATACATACACGTTTACTTAACGGAATGCTTTACAATTCTCTGTACACTTTCTAAATATCACACTAAGAATTTAATTAAGATGAAAAAAAAAAAATTAAAACGTCCACACAAACACACACATACAATTGAAACATCTCAAGTCGTTTTTCAAGACATTACAGTGTTCTATGGGACGTATCCTGGGATTTTTTTAATATATGGGTGCTTTCCAACTACCGTACACAGGCGACACACTGTGTAACACCGTGTCCATTAGTGTAAGAAAGAGCATATCGGTGTGTCTCGCTCACACTAATGAACACACTGTGTTACACACATTGTCGCCTGCGTACGTAGTTGGAAAGCACCCTATATGTTATCTATACTTTTACTGAAAACGCAGACACCTATCGTGTGTGATATATATATATATATATATATGTATATAATACGGGTATATATTATCACTCGTGAAATTAGATAAAATACGAGCACGTATAGAATAAATATAAATCTCTGTTGACAAGAGAATCTGATGCTTCACGCTACTTTACGATAGTGTATAAAAAAAGTCGCACCGTGCTTACACGTATGTCGGAGAATCTATTTTTGCCGCTAATGTTTTTTTTACGCGAATGCATCGTGGACGGTACTTTACATGTCACCAAGAATTATGTATCTGGTTAAATTTTCTATAATTCGCGATAATATTCTAACACGTGCGATGTACAACAGGGGAAGCCTTCAAAATATTCTACGATAATACTGTTGGACATGTGATTTTTCTTTCGCGTTGCAAGCACGTTGTTGAACTAAACGGAATCCATAAACGCGCGAATATTGTAATCAACGGTACTAATTGCTTTTATTACGTAACTACGAATTAAATTCAATTTGATCTGTCGCAAAAAGAAGTACAAGTGTGACAAATGCGAATTGTAAAAGTTTTGTCAATATTGTAACTGAGAGAGAAAACGGTTAAATATATTGCACCAATACTGAGAGAATAATAATATTATACTAATACGTACGCAGATCTGTACAGAGAAGATAACATTCGGAAGGAAAAATCTCCAGGCAAGATGGTTTTAAAAACCTTTCAACTTACTTACATATATTCGCTAATTAAGTGACATTTAATTATCATTGGTCGCGTTTAACAGAACTTGAGCACTTAGTGATTATTGCTTGTCATTAGCACATACTTTCATATATTGCGACAGATCTACGGTATCAATCACAGACAATAAGCACAAAAAGCACGCCGAGTTCTGCCGAAACGCGGCCCGTTATCGTAGATACTCACTTGATTATTGTAGCGCTTAAACTTATCGTTATGTGTTATAAAAGTAGCAAAATAACTTAATCAAGGCTTCAGCATATTTCGCAATGGAAGGCCAGGGTCTTCAAACAAAGTCCATCTTACGACAAAATAAATGTTGTGCAAAATTATTATCGTATACAAATTTCTCCTAAATGTTAATATAAAATAGATAACACCATTCGCTTTGTAACATATAATATAGCACATAATACACATATTTGTGTGATGTATGGGCAGTGCAAAGAGAGAGATTATTTTATACGAAAGAACTAATATCACAAGATAAATACAAACTGGAACTAAAAATTATATCGAGTAATAATAATAATATCAACGTCGCAACGATATACTCGAAGTTCTGTTACGCCAACGTCATAATTAACAAAGATTACAAATTTTCTAAAAAAGACCCAGAGATTACGATGAGAATGTTTGTATATATATATCGCATATATATATAATTCTTGTGTGTGTGCACTTACATAATATATAATTTTTTCAAGTGCCGCGCGAGTAAAAGCTGCATATGCAAGATATTAAAGTTCGTCGTAACATCACAGCTCTCGAGTGCTGTTTGGTATATCACATAATATTTTTTTTATTTTTTTATTTTTTATTTTTTTTTTATCTGTAATCACAACAACAGATTTCGAAATGTTATGTCGCAAAGCAAGCCGGAGATAACGCGTTTTTTACTTTCTATATTATGTATATCTCTTATTGTATCTAAATACTCTATTCACGCGTATAATGAATGCGTCGTGTCTATTTATTTACCAAATTATCTATTGTTTCATATGATTATTCTAGTTTCATCCGTGAAATGATAATACTTTCTACTCTTTCTTTACAAGGAAGTGTGTGCAAAATTCATTGAGAGAATCAAATAGCTATTTTTATATATTACCTCCAGTATCTTTGTGTATGACAGATCTACAAAATTCCCTACAGCAATGGATGATCCTCTTTGTGTGATACTCCGAACAGTTGCGAATAAATTTGCCTTGCGTTGCAATTGCAGCGTGTGTGTGTGTGTGTGTGTGTATAAAATTTTGTGTTAAATATATGAATTTGTTAAGTAAGTATATGTATATATTATATAAGCGTAATTATAATCCTATTTTTTTTTGAGCATCGGAAGCAACAGACAAGTGTTAAAAACATGTCCGTACGTGTAACAAAGCACGTACGTGTATAATACGTGTATTGTTGTACATAAATGTTCACAACACACACGCGTACAGGCTCATCTTGCATCTTGTGTTTAAGGATGTTCAATATAATCCTTATTCAAAAATTTTTACACGTAATTCTTATTACTTAGGGATTTTTTATACAGCACAGATTAGATTCTCAGTTCGTTGTCTTATAGAATTTTGTATCAAAACAGAATCTCTTAGATCTCTCCTCTCTATCTCGTCTCTTTTTCTTTTCCACATGCACATTTTAATTGCCATCGTGTTTCCTAACGCATCGGTATATCAACAAACGTCAAACTAATCTTCAAAGTGGTATCAAACGTAACAAGATTAACATTCGCAACATTTGGAAATGCATTTATGTATATATATAGTAGTGCGTTTTTTTTTGGTTTTTTTTTTTTTTTTGGTTTTTTTTAAATATAAAATTGACGTGTCATCAAACGGTATCTATGATCTTTCTCCTAACTCGTTATATGTACTGCAGAAACATGTGTTTTGTATTTTGTACACATATTCTTTGTTTCACCACATCACGTAACAAATATCCTAATTACAATAAACTATGTCGTCTTGTGTCACACGTGTGTTATATCGACAAAGTTTTCTTTTTATTATCTGATTGGACGTGCACGTTCTATGTTCGCAAATGCAGTCTTTCTACCGTCGCCATGATCAGTCGGATCCTGTCACAATATAATTAGCTTTCTCGTATTAATTTTATATAAATAGCAATACATGCAATAACTAAATATTTACAAATTCTTGTGAAGATACTATATTGTATTCCACGACTGCACGGAAGTGCGAATGAATTTGAATACACACATTATATATGTACATACATAAATTGAGATATACTCAGACATTTATATATAAATTTATTACATATAACTTAAATTATATGTAATTTAAGTTATAATTTATTATAACTTCAGATATGTAAATTATTAACTTATTATGTATAACTTTGACATTTATACGTTAACTTATTTGCATGTAACAAAAATCTGTCACAAATGTTAAATACTAGTTCTTATTAAAAGAAAGTGAATCGGGAATATACTAAATAATAAAGTGCCTTTATTATCGAACCGGTAAACATTAAAGCTACTTTGATTGAACTGTTCCGTTCACTGGATAGAGAGTTAGATAGAGTATTTAGTTTCGTTAAATTAGAAAAAAAACCTAACACACATATATTGAAGAGAGACTTTCTTTTTATCCTAAAAGTAAAAAAAAAACAAGAACATATATATTTACACATTTGAAAACATTTCACAATACATCATCGTCTGATCATGACGAATTCAAGATTAACTTTATTGTGATTTGTCTAAATCTAATTTTCATGCGTCCACAAAAAATGGCGTTTATGTAGAAATAAAACAAGAATCAAATATTTGATTCTTAAATGCAACAATTATACGAGTCAATCTATCGGTTTCTCATACTGTGAAGCACCATTGGAACCGCGAAAGACGTTCTTTTCAATGTGTTTCGTCCGTTTGTCTTGTTTCACAAACATCTAATATGTTGTGGTATTTGTAAGAATAAAATATGTGTCGCGTTACTTGACACCCGCACACTTTTCTCTCACGCGCAAACATATGTCGGGGATATTTGTAACTTCATTTTGCCGACACCGCATTTAAATCTAACGCGATTACCTTAGCAGTCTTTTTTTTCCAAATCAAAGACTCACGTCTCCGTATTCGAAGCTCCATTTTTCGTAGGCAGCTAAACTTGCCGGCGAAACGGATCTGCGAATTCTTTTTAGGGAATCACGGAAATCTTGCATTGTGATGTTACGAACAGAATTGAGGTCTAACTCTTTTACCTGATCTGGATTCAGTTCTGAAAACACGATAAGTTTTGACAAAACAATCTTGTAGTAGAATGTCGAACCGTAAAACAAACTGACAAATTCTTTTAATATTAAGAGTAATTATATGAAGCCTTTGACAAAACGTTCTACAATTTTGTATGAAATCCAATGCGTGTACGTGTGTGCAAGCCTTTAAAATAAAATTTTGCACTAAAGACTGTCGTTTGTAGAAAAAAATATATTAGAAGTATGCGGTTTAGATAAAAAAATATCAAATATTGATATTTAAAAGATATTATAACAAAAAAATGAGTGACCCATATGCGTATCTTTCACTCGTAACTTGAAAAAAAAAAAGCCAAAACAAAAAGAATACAAAAGTTATATTGAAGACAGCGTTACCTCTAATAGGCCCGAGTGCTGCGTCCTTAGCTAATCCAGTTAAATCGCTTCCCGAATATCCCTCCGTCAAAATTGCCATCTCTTTCAACTCTTCGAGTGTCAACGGATCATTGTGCTTTGCCAAAAGTCTTTGGAGCAACACGATTCTTGTTTGTAAGTCCGGCAACATAACGTAAACGCGTTTTGTAAATCGTCGCAGCGCAGCTTCGTCTAATTCTTGCGGTCTGTTTGTAGCAGCCATAACGAGAACCCGTTCTTCGGGATTACACGGTAAACCGTCGAACTCAACTAAAAATTCTGTTTTCAATCTCCTGAAATACATATAAATTGCGATTCACACTTCCCGCATTATGTCGTCAAATAACGAATAGATAACAAACACAAAGAATAAATACCTCGAAGCCTCGTGCTCGTTATCTTTCCGCTCGCTCAACAGCGAATCCACCTCGTCGATGAAAATAACGGACGGTTGCAACTCCCGCGCGATCGCGAACAAAGCTCTTACTAATTTCTCACCCTCTCCGACGTATTTGGATGTGAGACTAGCGGCGGAGATTGAAAAAAATGTTGCATTGCACTGAGTCGCGACAGCGCGCGCCAGTAGAGTTTTTCCGTTTCCAGGCGGTCCGAATAGTAACAATCCTCTTGCGGGTGTTCGTAGACCGGTAAATAATTCGGGTCGTAGCGACGGTAAAATCACCATTTCTTGTAGAGCTTGTTTTGCAGTCTGAAAGATCATTTGTATTGATTTAAGATATAGATTTCTCTTAAATCAACAACAATAATATCACTAATTTGAACACGATAAAACAGATGTGTACCTCTTGTCCGGCGATGTCTTCCCATTGCACAGGAGCTCCACCTTCTAAGATTTCATCAAGAATTACTTGCGCAAGTTTCGGATCCACACCTTTCAAAATAGGCACTTTTCTAGTTGGCGTGCCTCTGTTACTGTTCGAAGTAGTGGGCGTTCCCGGACGTCTTATAGGCGAACCGTTGCCAGGTACAGACAGCTGTCTTTTCACAGAAGGCGGTGTTGAAGACGGTTTGATCGGCATAGTTCTGTGGCAAGGCTGAATAGGCGTCGACCTTCCCATGCTTCGAGGTAACGTCTGACTTTTGCTTAAGGGTGTTCCTGTCACTCGCTTGCCAGGGACTGACAATTTTCTCCCGGATGCTGAAATACCATCTATACTTTTACAACCAACATCTACAGAAGATAGTAATATACGATCTTTTAATGAAGTAAGAGAATTACTAATGTTTGATAATTAAATGCAGATTCCATATACCAATCTAACGGACCTAGTAAAGGATCTATTGCAAAAAGATGACAAAAAAGAGATAGAAATGTTTACAGTCGAGATACTCGAAACATTATGTTATCTGTGTCGGTTAACGTTTATTTAAATAAAAATAGTAGGAACGTGTTGGAGATACCAAATTTTAGTAAGATCAACAGAAAGACATTATTGAACAATAATGAACCATATGATAAACCACAATTTCTTGCTACAAAGAAAGAATATTTATTATATATTAAAATTTAGTTTAATATATGTATATTAAAATATTTCCTACTATTTATATCGCAAACAAAAAATTATGTATGCTGTATGTGTGTGTGTGTGTCTGTTTCTTTTTGTGTTGTTACTAATAATTTAATTTACTTTGTGTATATACTATAATAAATATAACATGTTTTAAATCTATTGTTAAAACATTATAATAGATATGATTCTATTAGATGTACTAATAAGAAAAAATACGGCACTCTGTGAACATCTACAACAACAAAAAAAGCAGCTAAGACATTATCACAAATCTACCATTATCTACAACATTTGCCATCATGGTACAACTAATGTGCACAAAAATCTATGTTAAAAAAAAAGAAATATCTTTTTCAATTGGCCAACTAGAGAGCGCATTACATTATTTACTTGCATTCGACTTTCTTGCATTTAAGCCCAAAATTTCAGACAAGTAATACCTTCAGTAGTATGAGCGCAACAGTTTTTTGGCGAACGTGGCCTTAACTTGGGAATTTGGGTACATATAGTCTGCGCTGTATTAACTGTTGTGTGTGTGCTGTTGTTCATGTTCTTACTATGATTGGTATTGGGTAAAGTTCGAGCGGTTTGAAAGGTGTGTATATTACGACGAGCCCTCAGATGCTTTCCCGGATGGTCGCCGTCCGTTTTATTTCCAGGGTCGCAATATTCATTGTTGATACCCAGTTTTCTCAGCTCACACACATCCACTACAAAAAGGAAAAAAAAAACATTCTCCGCCATGCTGCAGTTAGGCTAAACAGCTATTTAGAGAAAGTCGCAGGCTACTTTTTCAATTACATTGAATATATACCAATGTGCCGGATTGCTAATGTATTTGCTAATGTCAGATCAAATGCGCGTTTCATGTCGCTATCGAAATGCTGGTCATGTGAGAAAGAGAAAGAGACTGGGACCGTTAAACTTGTATTTTACACAAATGTTTGCACGTTATCTCAGGATTTTCGAAAAAACAAAAAAAAAAACAAAAAAAAACAAAAAAAAATACAAAACTAAAATTTGACATGTGCTCAAGGTTAACCAATTGGGAAATTGTAAACACGCGACATGCACACAAAATTTATACACACACGCTCAAATATACACGCACGTACACACGCTCGCGCGCGCACACACTCACATATATTTTGAAAAATGAATTGCACATGAGCATGCTAAACACATAAATATTCTTTTCTTTTGCTGTGCCAAAGATTTACCTGTGGACACTGGCGCAAATTAAAAACTGGCCTGATACATAGCATAAAAACTGCTGCATTGATACTCAAATTATGTTATGTTCACAGGTAATGAAACTCTGTATTATATGGATAAGCTTGTAATAGCTTAAGAAACTTTGAGATATAAAATATTAAATGCAGAGAAGAATAGTTACGCGACATCGATTATTATACTAACCGAGAAAATCGAGCCTGTCCTTTGCCATTGCCAGGTTTGTACACATTTTGTCATGGAGTCGTTGTGCGTGTTCCCATACTTCTCCGTGTCCGCCATGGCACTCAACCGCTATTCCTTTCTCCAATTCTCCAATTCCCTTTTTGTACAATTCAATTGCCATCTCTTTTTGTCCTATATTGCAAGAATGAATAGATAATTAAAAACAAGATAACAAGACAAATATATTTACATACAATTATAAATTATTTATTTAGTTTCTTATTTCTGCTTGTTCTACACATTATTTTTTATATATATATAATGATTTTTATATAACACAAAAAAATATAGTCCAATTCCACAAACTTCTTACTTTTCCTATTAATTGGTATACCTTCATTGTCCTCGTCAATCTTCAATGCCTTGCTTATAAATTCAAAGGCTCTACGATGATGATGCTTCTGCTTGGCAAGTAACGGATCTCCGGGACCCGGACCGATATGACGTCTGGGTACTTGCGACATGACTTCAGTTTCCACCTGGGTGTTGTTGATCAAACGACCATCCAGCGGCTTTTGTCCAACAACAATTTCTAACTGACAGGCTTGCTTGGACGCCTGTCTGCGCTGGATCAAATGAGATGTAGAGGTGTACAGATACTTGAACACCACAAACAGCTGATACAGCAGAGTTCGCAACACATTGAACAATAATATCAATGGAAATGAGACAATATAGAGATTGCGCTTGTGTACCGATGGCTGCGGGCCATCCAGAATACGATGATGACCGTGATGATAATGACTGTGATGGTGACTACCGCAGTTGACCGTCGTCGTGGTCTTGTCGCTGTTCTCGCTCTTGGTCACGCAGAGCTTCTTGGGCGATTTTGGATTAAATTTTCTGGTTGGACGCGAGCCATCGCTGTAAGACATCTCCCGGGTTTATGAAGATTCGCGCGTCTTGTCGCGTCTACGAAGCCGCGCTGCTCGTCGTTGACGATGGTGACAATCGCGAATGTTGGCCGTGCCAACATCCCCAATCGCGAGGCAATCGAGGATAAACTACCGAGACTGTGCCTAGACCATATTCGCGGGCTCAATCTCACCCGCGGGTAGGCCACGGGAAACACAAGAATAGCAACAGGAGAGACGGGAGCGAGAGAGGGTGAAGAAGACGCGGAAGACTTGCGTTACAAAGACTCACAAGGAATCCCGGAAGATGAGAGCCGGTGAGACAACGAAGACGTTAGACGGATCGATCGCGTTTCCTCCTCGCGTTCCTCTCTCGCGTAACAACAGCCCAACGAAGAAACCAAGATTCTCCGCTCGACTTGAGCATCGCTTGTTTTTGTCCACTTCGAACGCTCCCCAACGTTCCCGGCGGTACGAGTACACACGTACGAGATTGTGCGAGAATATTGTGTATCGCAGCGACTCCAAGTGACGCTCTAGGGTTACACACGAAACTATGGAACGACGCGGAAGTCGGTCTTCTCGTGAATCAAAGTTCATGACGAGCGATAGGGAAAAGGGCCGGTTTTCATCAACTTCGACGAGGCGATCGGTCGATCGCGTTTCAACCATGATTGGTCAGTTCGGACAATCGAGCCACTCGATTGGTCAATTCCGTTGAGTCGATCGATCCGATCGCGTCGACCGAAGTTGGCGACCCTGGTCCATAGATCTGACACGTGTATGAAAACGCTCTCGCATTCTCAACGCGCTCGAAAAGAGCGACTCCTGGTGTTGCGATTGACGGGACTACGTGAGTCGTCCAGTCGGGAAACCGATCGTTCGATCTGGAAATCAAAGAAAGAAAACAAAAGTTTATTCCGCAACGGATTGTCACATCGAAGTTTCTCATCGACGGTAATTTTATTAATAATCCTGTGTAAAACGACAAACGATATTTTGTTGACGGCACGATGGAAAGTTTATTTCCCGGGAACGTCAACGACTCGAGAGTTAGGTTTCACCTTGCTCTCGCCTCGGTCGGCACATCCGTTAAACTTTTCAAATTAGACGCGTGCGTACGTTGATGCGGGTGATTTTTCGGAAAAATCTGCGGCTGTGTGTGTTTATCACCGGTTTAAGCACGCGTAAAAAAAACGACCCGTCGTTAGAGTCGTTGATCTCGTCAGGATCTTCCATATTGTCGTCATGGAATCCGAGGACACTCGGCCGACCATCTATTACTCGGAAAAATATTACGACGACCAGTACGAGTACAGGTAAGTCTTGCAAAGAACAATTTTCCGAACTAAATCAAATCCAACGTTCTTCGGCGGGTTTCCCTTAGAAAGAAATTCGGTTCGGCGGCAGCGTCGCTAGCTTGTTGACTTTTACGTTGAATGACAGCTGAGTATGTTTGTATGTAATTTCATTAATTTTTCCTTTTTTTTTTTTTTTTTTAATCTCACCATCTTTGTTTCTCTTATCGGCAACGTGGTCACGCTTTTATTAAATGACCGTTCTAGAAAGAGCGTTCACGCCGTCCTCTCTATCTCTCTCTCTCTCTCTCTTTTTTATTCACTCTCTCTCCCTCTCCTCAGTTGGTTTTTATTATTGTCCGATCGTCCGTACCAAACGTCACTTTGGAACCAGTTTTTTTTTTTTTTTTTTTTTTCGGAAGGGGGAAACTTTTCGTTTTATTTTCTTTAAATAAGACTATTCCGATCACTCTCTCGGCCTTGGGCTTTATACAGTCCGTAATACTTTCAAAACGTGGAAGGAGAATTATTACGCGAAATCTAACTTTCGACAGGTTTCAAAATCGATAAGCTATACGACAAAGATCCTTTCAAAATTTTATGAATATTTATTCAGCTCAATAGTTTTGGCTAATATTATTTTTTATTATCCTCATTAATATTTTTTTATTATATACTTTCATTAATATTATTTTCTCTATTTACTTCCATTAATATTATTTTCTATTACTTCCATATGTTATTTTCTTCTTCCCATAAATTTTGTATAGACATGTTGTTTTACCAAAAGAGATGGTAAAACAAGTGCCAAGGACTCACCTGCTGTCGGAACCAGAATGGAGAGCCATGGGAGTTCAACAGAGTCAAGGATGGGTACATTATATGATTCATGAACCTGGTGTGTGTGCTTAGTATATTTGTTATATTTTTGACATTCATGGTTTTTTTGAAAGTTTTCTAAGACTAATCAATTTTTATTTCTCTTGTTTTCTTATATCCAATGATCCAATATCTTTTATCTATTTGATAGTTCACGAATGATTTAACTTTTATAACTTTTGTTTTTTTTTTTTTTTCAGAGCCACATATTCTATTATTCAAAAGAAAAATAACAACACCTCCAGAGACGAGAAAATAAATGAATGCGCTACACCTATTTTATTTCACATTTTTGTAAATAACCAACATAGATCATGGTCATATTTATTTGTGGAACACAAGTTTTATTATGTGATCTCCGTATTATTTACCATTACTTTTTCTCATCTATCAACAACAATACTTTGCACGATGTAGGATTTTACTTTTTACAAAGTTGACTTAGAAAATCAGTTTAATACAAATCACATGTTCAAACTTTTTTTAATTCAAATTCCACAGATTAAATTATGTTCATGGTCTTTGTGCTTTCAAATTACTTGCCATTTGTCAAAGATGTCAAGCAAGTATGCTGTATATATGTCTATAGTGAATCCTAGTTAATTATTAATTTTATTGTCACTAATTTTAGTTTTTCACGTTGAAACTTGAAGAACGAAAGAGATAGTTTTGCAACATATCAGTTATAACATAGTAAAATATTCTAGTTGTTTCCAAAGGTTGTAGCATCACGGAGCGAAGTAACAAATAAGAATTTCTTGTGATTACAGTGTCATGTAGAAACGTACTTTTTAAAATCGTAGTCGTTACATTAATGTACTCAGCGATTGTTCATCGATGTTGATAAAAATTTTAACATAATTTAAATATCTCACACGCAAAAAACATGTGAGCACATTTTTTATTTTCGAATTTCGACCTTCACGAAAGTTTTATGTCAATTTTTAGTTTGCGTTTTTGTTTTTTTTTTTTTTTTTCGCTTCGAGTAACTTGTATACACGAGTTACGTATCTTAAAAAAAGACTGTAGGATTTCGATATATTAAGTTCTTAAGCGAAATATTTTAGAAAAAAAAAAAGTATTAGTGTAGAAACTTTTATATTGAAAAAAAACTTTCAGCGATTTTGGCATGAATTTATAAATAAATGCATTTAGGGATACAGTATTAGATTTCTTGTGCTTTGTTTATGTTATAGAAAAAGAATCACAAATTTATTTGATATCAACATATTCGTCTAAATACAGATAGTAATAAGCTATATATTTTTTCAATATATAAATTTAAATATTTTTCATACACGCACGCACAGATTATACATATCTATATTATACATGTCTCGATGCAATTCTCAACAAAGCCTGTGTCAACAATATTCTCAGAGTGTTAGAAAAATTTTACACCTTGACCGTCATCAGTCAATATGAGCTCTGCTTTTCTGGCAGTTTCTAATGTTCTCAGTGACCTAATCAGTATTTCCATGTCCAGGCCATAGAATTCTAGAATAAAAAGAAGTAAAAGTATTACTTTTTCTTAATCGTATGTAATAATAATAATAATAAGTAACAAAATACAAGTAATGTAATTAAATAGTGATAAAATCATGTGATATACCTTCTTCAGTTGTATCTTCTCCTTGTGTCAATTCATACAATGTGCACACAGACCCAATAAAGCCATTTGCTTGTGCCCAGTTGTACATTATGTCACCCCATTCGTCCAAAGTGTGCCAATAAACCAGCCACCTTTGCTTGGTCTTATCCAGTGGAGATGCATTTCCTGATTTTTCTAACTCTTCTAGTATTACTAACACAGCTTCGGGTGATAATTTTCCTATTGTAATATTTGTTAAGAAGTCTGTGTAATAGCATGAGTTATTATTATCTTTTGAAATAGCAAAAAAAACAAACCATTGTAAAGTTTAGAATTATGAAATATAAATATTAATAAAAACATCGTTAAGATTTTGTTTTTAAATATTATTAATAAAAAGGATACTATTTATGTTACTGTTGTTAAATACAGGATTAGTGTGCACTTCTCGCACATCCACAGTAGCCTGTTTTGTAATACGATAATATTCTAAAACCAAACTCTTCCAAGCTGCTATTTGTTTAGCTCTAGTTTCCGCGTGAGGTTGAAATCTGTTAAAGAAAAATTGCGATTATTTCTCATGTTGGATTAAGTATATTTCCAAGCGTATTCTTGTACATTATTATTATACTATTCTTTTTTTAACCTCCTCGATTTCTTCTAACCAACACGATAGATATTCATGTGATAACATATGTAAACATATTTTATTTTTACAAAAAGTGCAAAGATCATATAAATAACAATTAGTCGAAGAAAGCACGTGTTAGCAATAGAAAGGAGAACGTTAAGGTTTCGGCATATAAACAATATATTTAAAGGTAACAAAACAATATCATGTATCGAAACGTCTGTGACCAATCAGTAGTGAAAAGTTGATTGAATAATTCATTTACTTCGAAAACAATTTTATTAGAAACATCAATACTCACGTGAAAAAAGGAGGAAAGCTGTACTGCCACGGCCACTCAATTTCGGCCATTGTTGTGATTATCAGTTGTCACTTCACTAGCGATTGCACATACACACACACAGTTTACATTCACACGAACGCCGACAGGAGATCCCGCGAAGATAACGTCGCACGCGCATTCAGGAAAAAATAACAAAATACATGATCACATATCGATTCCATTATTGATTTAAGTCATTAGATATATTCAATAAATTTCATTTTATTTTGTGGATATTAGGTCGGTAGTTTGTAGTTCGGTCTATTTACGGCAGTTTTAAATGTTTTTAACTACTAAAGCATCGCCGAATGAATTTAAGACTAAGATTTTTAACAACAAGATCCAACTATGATTATCGGCCTGTTATTCACCAAATCGGATCTAATCGAATCTAATCGCACAAAAGTGTCGTAAAAAAGCAAGCTCACGTCACGTGCTACAGATGTGCAATTCTAGCGAATATCGAAAATTAAAAACGGAACGCAGCCTTAATTTCAGTCCCTATAAATTATTATCAACTGTCAATATATGTGGCAATTTGACAGATTTTATATATAGTATAGAGTATATATATTCAGTTACATATATTAGCATGGAGATACATCAAGATTCCGGAGAGATAAAGTGATCATGTTAAAATAATCATCATTGTATGTTGTTCAAATATGTTTTATTATAAAAAATAATGTTTCAACCTATAAAAACCCACGCATTACAATGATCAATGATAATACATCTTTTTTTTTTTTTTTTAATAACATAATGGTCAAATAAATCAGTAGAAAAATATACATGTAAAATAGCATATAAAACACATCTCAGTAGCTAATACAATAAAAAATCCAATATGATAAAACGTTCATTTGTTATTACAGAGATTCTTGTAAACAAGTAAATAATAGTTTTCAAAATACACAGGAAATTGTGATTCGTCGTCAGATTCTCTATAAGGCCTGTATCCGGCAAATGGATTCCTTTCGCAGTAAAGATAATCTATATTTTTTCCTAAGGTCAAATTTATATTCTCTACATCTAATTTAGCTTCATATTCCGAGTAACATGTCAAAATTAACGGACAATTTTGTTTAGCTAATATCTGAATAGATGGCACCCATTTGTTTCTTATATTTTTATTCCCTTCAATGTCACACCTAGGAAAACCAGGATGAAAACCTATAATTAAGTCTGGTTTCTTAAACGCAGTCTCTTCCACATAGTCTCCAAATGATTTATCTAGCCATTCTACTGAAATTTTCTTTTTTTGTTGTTTACAAGTATTACACAAGTTCAGTTTATGATTGAGGGATGTTCGATCTGGCCCTATAAGTATAAACCTCAGTGATTTTATGTTAGGAAGCAAGTGTAATATAATTTCCCAACACGGCAAGCACCACATATCTGTTGTGTTTCTAGCTATAACATGAAAAACCAATGATTTCTTCTGCGGATTATATTTTAACATTTGTATTCCATGAATTATTGTCAATGGTTTTGTGTAATTTGTTGATTGTTCAATTTTAAACAATTTGTACGGCGGTTTCAAAGAGGTTTTAATGATGTCTTCATAAACACTTAAAAACTCTTTCATGTTGCAAAATACCTTTTTTTCAGAAATTTGATTTATATAATTTACACAAACTGGCTTCGATACGGAAGATAGTGACATATATGCGGTGAAGGCCATTCTCAGAATATCACAGGTCCCTTTGTCATGATTGTTCTTGTGGTTTTTACAGAAGCTCACGGATATGCAAGTTGAACAGTTTTCCAATTGATTTTGTTTTTTGCACACTAGACACATTTTTGGATATTTGAACATTTGTACCTCGTATGGTAGTAACTTACGTTCCAGTCTCAACGCCACTTTCGACTTTAACATTACAAGCTGCATCATAGCTTTCTCCTCTTCGGACGAAGAGAATTCTGAAGGGTAAGTCTCACGCATATATCTCACAGCTCTGCATAGATCTTTATGCTGCGGCCAGTGTAGTTTCTGATGATCTTGACCGCAATAGGAGATCAATTTGCATCCGCTACACATCCTCAAAACTACTCTTTCACCGTATCGCTTACAGATGTGACACACGGTCGCGTAGAAGAACTTATTGTATACTTTATCTAAATTTTTACACATTTTTCTCTAAAGTAGCCAGATGATTTACTATCCACACACAGGAAAAAGAACAGATGTAAATATATGTATATATTATTTATATATGTACATACGTATATACTTGTTGCTGTTTTTTTTCGAACAAGATGTTAAGCAACAGGTACAAATCGAAGAGACGAGAAAAAAGGGAGCGAGATTTATCCGTTAGAGGATTTACATATAAACATAATAACATTTCGAATATTATACGTCACATTTCCTCGGTATGCTAATTGGATATTAAATAGGAAATTTTGAAACTTGAGAAATTCATCGTCTAATAGCCAATAAGTACGTGCGAGAACTCGTGCGACAAATAAAAAATGAGAAAAATGGTAGCAGTGCTTCGTCCGCAACAGTCGAAAAATCCCCAGAATTGACCAATTGCAATAATCAGGTGACTCGAATACAATTGGTCGATTCTCTTTCAATTCGAGATCTTAGGTCTGTTCTTTTTACCTGAACTGGCTACACTAGTTCAGAGGTTATCTTTCTTCTTCCAATGTAGAGTGAAAAAGATGAACTCTGAACTAGTGCAGCCAGTTCAGGTAAAAAGAACAGACCTCTTGTTTAGCGTCATGTAAAGCCTATGTCACACTACGGATTGGGATTGAGATTGGATTGCAATTTGGCCAATCAGAGAGAAGATCACTAAACTTAGGATTGGGTTTCTTTTTTCTGATTGGTCAAATTTCAATCCAATCTCAATCCCAATTCGTAGTGTGTCATAGGCTTAAGTAAGGTCCAAATTCATAGTCGTTTCTCAAATCTTAGATCTCGTCTCCAATCTCAAATTTCAGCTCTCAGATCCTAGATAATTTTATTTCTAGATCTTATCTAGATCTAGAAGAATCTTATCTAGATAATATTATCTTATTTAGAAAATTATCTTATCTAGATAATTATCTTATCTAGGAGATTCGAGATCTGAGAGCTGAAATTTGAGATTGGAAACGAGATCTAAGGCCTATGTCACGCTACGGATTGGGATTGAGATTTGACCAATCAGAAGAAAGAAAACCAATCCTAAGTTTGGTAATCTTCGCTCTGATTGGCCCCAATCCAATCTCAATCCTAATCCGTAGTGTGACATAAGCTTAAGATTTGAGAAGCGACTATGAATTCGGGCCTAAAAGTCTCTGCTGAATTTGCATCGTCTCGTCAAAATACGTGTGTGCAACCAATCAAACCTGTCAAAATGTATTTTTTCAAAGTAAGTAGCATATAAATCTATTTGTGTATTTAATATTAATTTATATTGTATAAAAATTTTTTAAATATATCATTAGAATATTTTTTAAACATATCATTAAAATATTTTCTTAAATATTGTGATGTTTTATTCACACACACAGAATAGTTCGCGAAGAGATAATTAATAACGAGAGAGATCTCCAAACCCCTGTGTAAAAGCCGCGGCCTTTTTGTTTCAAACATGAGAGAAGAAATACAATGGCAAAAAAATTTGTACGAAAATTACGGATTGCCGGACAACTACACGGATAGTTCTTTCTTGGAACAATTGCGTAAAAATATTAAACCGAATAACGTGACGTTGGTAGATGCGATAAATCTGGGTGCTGATATAACCATACAATTGAGCATAGTCGTGCTTTTTGTCATAATATTTATTTGGTTAAATAACGAGTGGGTCACTCCGGATATTGTTACAATATCCGGAAGCGTTCTGACAAGTCTCGGGTATTTTGTTTACAATGTAAGAACACCCGATCGGCGTTCGAATCTGTCGAAAGACTTGTGGACCGTGTTTATATTTTTGACGTTCGGTTATATATTGTCGCCAATTTTGAAAACTTTAACCGAGACAATCAGTACCGACACAATTTACGCTATGACAATATTGATGTTTCTCACCCATTTGATATTTAGCAAATACGGATTATCGCAGATCTCATTGTCGGATTCGTTGTCGGTAACTTCTTCAATTTTTGGATCGTTAATGTTGGCCTCCAGATTGGCGTCCCCGTTACACGCCTTCACACTTCTAACGGTGTCGGTTCAGTGTTTTGTACTCTTGCCGTATTTATTATCACAAACGAGTAACAAGATTGTTATATCAGCCGTTCTCTCAACTGGTACCGTGTATTCGCTTGTATTCATTTCGCAAACATTCTTATACGTTTTTGTCACTGCCGTAACGATCATTCACTTTATTTGTCCACTTTGGTACATCAGGTGTCAAAAATTCAAAGATAACATTTACGGTCCGTGGGATGAAGCAGTGATTACTTCCTAAGTAAAATTGATTTTTGCAATCATCGCAGTTACGAATTATGTACAGATATATTGTAAGAAATTTATAAAGTTTATGTATAAAGTTTTGAGATATAACGTTGTTTACTTATCGTAATTGTACATAATTTATTTTACAAGAATATATTTTGTTACATGTGATACATATGTTATATAGAGAAAGAGAGGAAAGAAGCATGTATGTCAATGTGTTATTTTAAAAGATACAAAAGCGAAAACTTACTTAAAATATAGTTTGTAATTGATATCTTTATTTATACAAATAAATCAAAATTCATTATACGTAAGGAGCTCAAATGTTTTTGTTAAAAATTTCGTACTATTGCTCCGATATAGTGTACATACTATATACCGCTATAGTATACTCCGATAGTATATATGATATATATAATATATAATATATACTGCTCGCAATTACCGGCCCAGGAACTCGGGACCTCCCTAACTCGCGTTTCACACATTGGATTTTTCCGGGCCGGTCTTTTCTCAGTCGAAGTTACCGACTTAAATGCAAACTGAATCGGGCCTCCAATCAGCTTGAATTGGTTGTGAAAGATGTGGAAGAACAATGTGAGAACGAAAGAAATATTTAACCCTGTTTTTGTAACCCTGAGGGGAATAAAAAAATTAAAAATTACTGCTCACGATAATTATACATATAAAAAGCGGAGAGCATCCACGTATATAACTAGGATATATATAAATTTCATATAAGTTCTACTTGCCGTTCGCGCAACGCTCATGGAATCATCGTTTTTTTCTTCATCGAAAATTAAACAAAGATAGGTAACGCGTTGCGAACAGCAAGTGGAACTTACCCATAAGTGAAACAAGATGGTGTTATATTAAAAAATTCAAACTATACAAGTGAACACAAATTCTTTCTCCCGTTATTTGTAATATTATTATCGTAACAAAAACCAGTTTCAGTTTAAAAAACTCTAGTGTATAGACCTTTTATCATTTTATAATTATAAATTGTAGCAGTCTTTTAATTCGTCTTATGAGAGCTTCGATGAAGCTACGATCCAACGTCGCGTATTCGCTGTGCGTTGTTTCCAGTAACTGTGTAATAAAAGTATCTGTGAACGTGGCAACGAGTCCTTGCTTCAGTTCCATTAACGTTTCCGACGAGACCTTCCATTCTATCATACTGTCGTCAACGCCTCCCGACGATACTGTTTGTGGACAAACACACATTTAAGAAAGAGTTTTTACGTAACACTTGCGTGCTTATAAACACAAACAACAAATATATCTAAATTAAATAAAATTATTTATACTGACCGTGCACCCTTTGAGTTTGCCGCGATATCACCAGCATGGTATAAAAGTCCAGATGACTCCAAAGAATGTACAACGCGTGCTCTATTATAAAAGAACAATATTTTATGCTTTGTCGCTTGTCCTTCACCCAACGATTCAATCGTTGCTCGACAAGCATTCGTTGCTTTTCCACATCGAGTTCCAGCTCGTTATCAGACATGTACTGACAATAAAAATCAATCGCATTAAATCTTTGTAGTATATATGATGTGTGTATATACACATAAACGAGAAAATAAAAATTCAATTCTGAAAGTCTTAATATCAACCTTCTTTAGTTCCGCTGTATTCATGTCGGCTACCATTGACGACTTCTTTATCAAGGAATCGATATGAGGTAATTCAGTGTGTAGTAAATTTGTCACAGAAACCAGCTGTTCGACTATCACGCCCAAATGCACACCACCGGAAGTGTCCTTTATTGTGTCCTGTCTTCCTCCTGGTTTCAGCGTTAAGTGAGGATCGAACAGCACATTCCTTATTTTCTGATCCATGTGACTGTGTTGCATCTGAAGCAAAAATATGAAACTTCTAACACACAAACGTCTGAACAAATTCACTGAAAAACTCTAAAAATAATAAATTTTCCTTGATGTTTTCAATATATATATTATTCATATTAAAGGCCTTACTTGATTGCGTGTATACAACATGATGTTGGCGACTATCTGTATACAAGAAATATATTGTTGGTTCGCATCGGCTTCCTGATAATTGTGGTTTATCGGAATCGAGTGCATTTGGAATTTTTTCAGTAACGAGAGCATCAATTTCTGTAGGCGGTAGAGATGCGCCCGCAACTCCCTCATCCCCGTGGTACTCTCCACTTTGTAATCATCTATATCTGTTCTCGCCAATTCCTCTTCCACAAGTTTGTACATGTCTGTAAAGCAATGATATTTATAATATAATAACGTATTAACGTTATATAATCGTTCAAGTAATCTTGATGATTTTTTCGACACAAACCTATATTTGCCGATCTGGATATCACACCGGTGAGACACGCTATTTCCTTCAAGAAAAGTTTATTGGCATGGGAGAACGCGTTTCTCAAAGTCATTTCTACGGTATCTCTGTGACTTTGTAAGAAACTGCAGACTTGCACGGCGCACGATTGATTCTCCGTTCCTAGGGTGGTGAACAGAGCGTCGCAAAGATACAAAGCCGGTAGAAAGATCTGCTGGTAACGTTGTCCGACCGACGGTATAAACGAGTAATCGCCACCCTCAAAACCCACGTGAACATCGGGATGTTGATCGAACACGCACATAGTAGACATACAGGACAGGATCTTGTTCTCCAGGAGACTCTCCGCGCCGAATCTTGTTGACGCCATTCTGCAAAAAATGGCTATTTTCGCTTCGTAAAGATACAAAGGTCGCAGAGTCTGCGGTTCCGGTTGCAGCATGAATCGCAGCATATTGTCCGATTCCAACAGACTGTCTATCATGTGCTTCAAATAGCCTCTGCTCGTCAAATATATCATCCAGGCGTTGTCGCAATCCAATTCCAGAATCTTGTCCAGACAGGACAACGCGAGCATCTTGCACACGTCGTGTCCACCGGAACAGCTGTGGCACAAAATGTCCATCAACTGATTCCCGAAACTGTTGATGACTTGAATTGTCGCGTAACGCTGCAAACGTTCCTGGGTAGGCATGAGCTTGTTGAGCGAACTATCCAATTGTCTGATGTACATCGAGTCGATTACGTTTACGTGTTCGAATTCAAAACCAACGATGCTCAGGAAGTTCAATAAGGCCGCGTAGAGATGCGTAACGACCTTTTGTGAAGAAGCACCGGCATTTATGATCCATTGTAAAATGTGATTTAGAATAATTTTCATCATTGTTGTATTTGACGGTGAGGACGGCAATAACTCGTTGTCCGACTGGACTACAAAACTGTTTCGCAAGTTCACCAACAGCATCAAGACCGTGCCGGACACCAACGTCTTGATTTCGCTCAGAGCTTCGCAAGAGGTCATTTTCTGTAGAAGATCGTGCGACAAATTCAGCAAAAGGCTCTGTCTTTGACTCGCCGGGAGTTGTTGATCGGTCGCGACGGAGAATAGTATCTCTGTAGTTTGGCACCAACCCTCCACGAATTTCACCGTTGCGTAAGATAAGACTTTGGTCTGATTCTTCTTCAGCGCGTATGCGAGTACGGATTTTACTTCTTGCTGCATAAGTTTGCGCTGAGTGGCGGTCGCGCTGCTCTGCGTGACCGTCAATTCCTCGGTGATGAGGGAATGCAATTTACGAATGTCGATGAGTCGCGGACCGCCCATTAACGCGACGGGTGTGCTGCATTTGCCCAAAACCACTTCGATTTGCGACGGATCAAAGAATTCCCATGACTTCGTGGGTTCCAGGTAGAGTTGGAAGTCGATGTAGTGTAAAAGATCCATTAAGAGCTTCTGGGACGGTACAATCTGATCTTTATCCTGATTCACATTTCCCACCAGTCGTTGAATTAAGGAAGTCTGCAGACTGCCGCCAGCAACACGCAACTCGATAGCGGCTATCTTCATTAGCCAAGACATGCAGCCGAGCTCGGTCGATCTGTTCGGTCCTTGGAACGGTAATTTCGAGAGGTGTCTCTGCACGAAGTCCTGACTGCTGGTGGTACTGATTGCTCGCAGAAATCTGAGAATTGGTGCTGACGTTTTGCTATTGGCTGTCAATGTATGAAGATAGCAGTAACAGGCTTCGGTTATTTTGTCGCGACCGCGATCGAGAGACTGTTCGAGAATACCCAGGATAGAATGCAAACAAGTGCGTGGAAATCCTAGAATACCCGGTTGCTGAATAACGGTCTTTCTGATATCTTTGGTTATTTCAAAACCGAGCAAATAGTGCGCGAGATTGGGCGCAGGCCGTGTAATACTGTGCATCATCAACAGCAATATCCTCTCTTTGCAATTGCCAATTTGCAGTCTGCTTTGTTCGCCGGCTGCTGTCTCATCTTCGTCTTCCGAAACGCTCTCCGCATCTAGACACTCGACAAATCCGTGTCTGATGTTCGTAGCTAGAGTAGACGTTGACGTGAATGTTGACAACAATTCGGAGTCCGCTCCGGGCTCGGTGGTTACACCCTGAATAACGCCAACAGCCACGAAAGCTTGCTTCGGTAGCCACGAATTGTACGAAACGTACTTCACGATATTAATCATGTGATCCGGTTTGCCTGTGCGAGGATTCACTCCGAGCAACAAACGCGACAGTCCCGTCATAAGTTTGTTCTCGGACGGTATGGCGGCCAGCTGCGCCATGTAATTATTTTGCGTCTTCAGTCCGCGTTCTAATATTTCCAAACAATACAAACTGCAATTTTCAAGGTGCTTCTTGCCAGGAAAATTGTCGTAAGTGTCAAAATGATGACATCCCTCGTCCAGGATGAGTAATATGACGTACAGTAATTCAGAAGCGGCAAGCTTAATGTGCAAGCTCGTCATTAGATGATATCCCGGGGCCGAATTCACCAAGGTGGTTTCACCGCCTTGCAACTCGACTCTACAACCCTCGAAATCCTCCACAGCTGGCTCGTATTGTTTTATCAACTTGGAGAATATTTTCAAACACGCCTCGGCCACTTCCCACTTCTCAGCGGGATTTTTGTACGAACGCGTGTAGAATTTCAAGAAGACGATATTAATGATAAAATGCAAGTACGGATCAAATCCTGGATTCCGTTGGCCGACACCAAGCAGACGAGGTATCGGAAAATTAGTTAGAACATCCAACAGTTCCAGCACGGCGCGTGTCAATGGATACTCCTCGTTTCTAGATTCGATTTCTTCCAGTTCAGTTTGCACACCTCTCGGTTGATAACTGCTTGTGGTCGGTATAGTGGAGAGAATCTGAGCAGCTTCCAAACTCTGCCAAACCACGGACGAACTTTCCGGTGATCTGGCAAGTGCCGCGAGAGTTCTCACCAGCACACCTTTTAGCGGTATCGGCATCGCGCAGCTCACCAAACCGATCAGGGACGGGAGAACCTTCCAATTTGGATGATCGCATATAGCGACTCTCGACATCTCGTCGTTCTTAGCGATTACTTGAACGACCGAAAGCACCGCTTCAAGACCCTTGACTTCCTGAGGCATAATTCCTTTCGGATGACATCGTTGTCTGTACACTGTGTCTTGACTGGGAGGCAATTCCTGTCTCAAATTGTAATAATATCGACTCAAGGAGTTGAAAAAATGATCCCACGAAATCGTTGCTGAACCAGTCGACCCTGCACAACATCAGTCTTATTGCAACACACACACACACACACACAATATCGGCATAAAAAAAAAAAGTAACATATTTATATAAATTATATATACGTTACCGTTTGGTTTGAAAAAATTGAATGCGTGTCTAGCTGCCTGTGTCGATGAAGCGAGTGACGAAATCATTTTCATATACGGAACGAACAAACCCGCCGGCAGTATTTCTCCCGCGAGTCGAATGAATTTAAACAAGGCAACTTGTCTGGAAGGCAGGCGGCTAATGTACGCAGAAGCTGTTACGTGAGTCGTATCGGTGTGGTGACACCAATAATCCATGACTAAATTTAACTTCAGCGGATCTTTCTTGTAGAGTTCCGCTACCATTAACATTAAATATTCAAAATGATTGTCCAGATTCATGGGAGGTTCAATACCTTCCTGCTGAAACGCTTGTATCAAACGCATGGACTCGTCGGCGCGACTGCGCAGCTCTTTAATTTTGACAGGCATCAGTAATATGAAGTCCGAGATGAGAGTGTGAAAATAACGAACGTAAAACTCTTCGTGGTGCAAGTAACTGTTTTTAAACAAAACTTCGGCCATAAAATGAAAAGCCTTGTTTGCCAAGGCCGCTTCGATCAACATCTCATCTTCCATAGTTATGCTCTGCGACTGAAACTGAGTGGAAGTTGTTTTAATTGTGATCATGGCTACCGCCAAAGCGAACTGTATCACTCCTCGTAATCCAGCACTTTCCCAATTTATATTGGTGGACATTATTTTTTTATTTAATTCTTCTAACGCGTCCCTTTCCGTTATCAGTGGCATCGAATTGACTAATTCTGAAAAAAAAAAAGTATCACAGAAATAAACAATTGATAGGAAATTTTTGCTGTATAATTAGAAACAAAACAAGCGCAACGTACCTTCGCCATTTTCACGACTATGTAAAAAGCTGAAATTTAGGGCATTTAAAACAGCCATAATGAGCGCAAGTGTAACCCTGTCAGGTCCACCTTCACCCGCTTCAGATTCCACTTGACGTGTTTGTAATATAGATAATAAACGAAACAGAATTATATTTGGCAAAGACGTTTGGGCAGACCATAAGTATAAAATATCAGCCAGATCCTGTCGCGTGTCGTTATAAAGTTTCATGACCATCTGATGATGCTTCGCTCCGCCTAATGCTTTATTTTGTTGCAGTAAATCTTGCTCCTATTTAAAATTATTTATTTTTGAAGAGATACACATTGTTTTGATATAAAAAATATCCTGTATATAATATCTATATATATAATTTTGTTTTAACTCTATTACCTTAGTAGGATCCATTTCTTCTACCAAAGACAAAATTCTGTTCAGCAGACCATCCTCTTGCAATTTGTTTGTATAATCCGTAATATGTCTTGTAAGTGCAACTGGTGTATCCACCGCCCAACTGTGACCGATACGAGTATGCACCAATGTTCTTAATACTGATGTCAATGCCTTTCTTCCGTCGTAATAAAGAAGAACGGCTGTTAAACCGCGAGTTAAACCAGGATGATGCGGCATTTGTAACTGAGCCGTACAGAGAAGATCCAGGGCCATAAATTCATTCAAATCATACATATCTGATATAATAACAGTCTCATCCACCAATTCCTTTGACAATATCTGATGACCCAAACCAGGCAGTGTTATTCCATCTGTGACTCCTTTTTTTATCTCTTCGCGACTTTTTGGATTTTTTGGCTGATGCATAGAAAATATATGTAAAATTTTAATCTCCGCCAACCAACAAGTTTGCAATTGCTCCAATATTAAATCAGATATATAAATATACTTACTGGATTTTTTAAGATGGTAAGAAAGTTTTGTCTGTGATTACGCAAAGCTTCTGTGAGTTCATGATACTGTGGGTCTTGAATATCAGGTCCTGATATTATATACTTCTCAACGAGACTTAGCAACTCCTTGTACGGAGTCCACATATCTTCTGTTATTGCTTTGTCTACATGAAACAAAATATTTTTTAATTTTCTCTTTGATATTACGATAGAAAATATACAAAACCAAATGCAAATATTATAGAACAAATGTAAAATAATTGAAAAATTAGTTTTCAGACATGGAGAGGAGGTTAACTTCAACGCGTGACGGTCCCAAACACAATATTACACATGCTCGGATGTGAATTACCTTCTGACATATTTTCGTTGTAAGCGCAATTTTATGCATTAACAAAAATAACAGACGACAAAACTTAATCATTAAGTAAAAATTAAGTGCGATGGAGCCGGCTTCTCGCACGGATTCTCATCGGAAACACAAAAACCGGTTTCCTCTGGCGGGAACAAAGTCAATAAGAGAAGCATCCATTGACGAAACATCACGGGCTACGTTCCAAAATTCTACCTTGGTTAATAAAATGCTATATTTTATGTCACGCGTACTATAGTTTTCGATTTACTAAGGTAAGTTATTTTGGAACGTACCCATGAAAGTCGAGACAAACGTAATTGGACGAGCATTTTCTTACATCGTGATTGGATGTTTTAGAGGAATCGAGGTGTAATATGATCTCAAGCCGGATGCACAACGGTCCAATCGCATTGATCGATTCGTCGAATTGACCAATGCGATTGATCAATTCTTCGAGAACCGAAGCACTTCGAAGCACTTGCAACGCGACTTGAATCGCGCACCTCTTTGATTCCCATTGTCCCATCATCATCATCATCGTCCATGTGGCGACCCTCTCACATTGTCAAACTTCATATGGATTATGAGATATACGCGCGCTTTTTTTCTTGGAATTTGGAAACGTTTTTCTCGTAGTTAATCATTTATTTAAATGGCCACTCTGTGTTCCCACATTTGTTGCGTAAAATAATTTTCGTAAGTTTTTCTGAAAATATTTAAAAGTCGCTTAAACTGACACATAATGCGGATTCGCGAATTGACGTGTACATATGTCACCGGTCGGTAATTTTGTGTACGTGGTCGCTCGCGAATTTATTTTCGGAGTCGTTTAAATGTGTAAATGTACAATCTCGAAGAAGCACCGAATGATCGAATATTAAAAATTTGTTTTTCTTCTACGATTTGATTCTCGTTGCGCAAATGATCGCGCAAATGCAGATGTTTATTTGTCAATTTTAATTATAACCTTTAACCACACACACATGTGTTCGGTGTTTGTACGTATATACGTATAATAAATTTAAATACGTATATTTACTTATTAGGTTTTTAAATCATTGTTTTTTTTTAAACCTGTTGAATTTACTTGTCGGCATTTTTGTGTTTTGCAAAATGTTTATAGATATTACATGGATGAAAATATACTAACGTATGTATACTTAGCAGAGGAAGATAAATTTAATTTTATATTTGCAGGTTTAAATGTTGTAAAACTCAGAACTTGTTTTTGTTAAAATTATTGTGCAACTTTCTACACAAACATGGCGTTATTGACGAAAGCGAGAGGTCTGCACATGAATGCTCAGAAGCAAGAGACGTTATTAAAGTTAACTGTACTTTCTCTAGCAGCAATTTTATGTAAGTTTATCTCCGTACTTGTAACGACCTGTTACAGCTGAGCTGTGTGGAGAAATATAACAAATATATTTAATTTAATTCACTCAAAAAACTTTGTTACAGCATTTGCAACACGTTTGTTCTCGGTACTGAGATTTGAAAGTGTTATTCACGAATTTGATCCATATTTCAATTATCGCACAACAAAATACTTAGCCGAAAATGGATTTTATAGTTTTCATAATTGGTTCGACGATAGAGTTTGGTATCCACTTGGCAGAATAATAGGCGGTGTGTTTACATTACATTTACATAAAAAAAAGTTGATGTGTGACACACAGTTGAGAGAGTGAATTATATTTAATTTGTAAAAATATTTTGCAGGAACCATATATCCCGGTCTGATGATAACTTCAGCAGCGATATACAGGATTTCTTGGTTGCTAAATATTACGTTAGATATACGCAACATTTGTGTCTTTCTTGCTCCGTTATTTTCAAGTTTAACAACAATCATCACTTATCTGCTTACCAAAGAATTAAAGGTATATTTTGTATTCTTACTTCTCAGGTGAATACAATTATACTATGTTTTTTTTAAACAGACAATGTTACGTTTACTGTATTTACTTCTCTTAGGATTCCGCGTCAGGTCTATTCGCAGCTGCAATGATCGCAATCGTACCTGGATATATATCTCGATCGGTTGCAGGATCTTACGACAATGAAGGCATAGCGATTTTCTGTATGTTGTTCACATACTACATGTGGATCAAAGCTGTAAAGACGGGAGCAATATCTTGGGCCACATGCGCTGCCCTAGCTTATTTCTACATGGTATCTTCGTGGGGCGGATACGTCTTTTTAATTAATTTAATCCCGTTACACGTGTTAACTCTGATGGTGACCGGTAGATTTTCTCACAGGATATACAGCGCGTACAGCATTCTTTATTGTTTAGGCACAATTCTTTCTATGCAAATTTCATTCGTTGGTTTCCAACCGGTTCAAAGTTCCGAACATATGCTTGTAAGTTGCATAAAAAGATTTCGTAACCAACTAAATTTATGCGCGCAAGTTTATTTATTTCTATTTTACATTTTTTTTTACAGGCATTGGGTGTCTTTGGTCTCTGTCAGATACACGCATTGGTAGATTATTTGCGTAGTAAATTATCACAAAATGAATTTGAAATATTATTCCGCGCTCTGTTAATTGTGGTAGTCTCGGCGTCGTGCGTAGTCGGTGGTATTTTAACCATCACAGGTAATATAAATCTTGTGCAATTTATTTCACACGTGTGTGGATATATATATTATATTTCATTTAAAAATTTATTCTTACGCGCCTCGCTTAATGTTTTAAAGGAAAAATATCACCATGGACCGGACGGTTTTACTCTCTGCTCGATCCGTCATACGCAAAGAATCACATTCCAATAATCGCTTCAGTTTCGGAACATCAGCCGACATCATGGAGCTCTTTCTACTTTGATTTGCAGATACTTGTATTTTTGTTCCCGTCGGGCTTATACTTCTGTTTCTCCAAATTAACAGACTCAAACATTTTCTTGATTTTGTACGGAGTTACCAGTTTATATTTTGCAGTAAGTAAATCCAAGATGTGTGAAATATTTTGTCATTGACAATACAGCTTGTTAGCCTTTTTACATATCTATTGTTTTATAAGTGAAAAATGTATTTTAACTGTATTGTATTAATATTTGAAACGCATTTATATATTTTAGGGTGTGATGGTACGTTTAATGTTGGTGCTCGCTCCAGTAATGTGCATTTTGGGCGGAATCGGAGCATCCTCTCTGTTAAGTACTTACATGAAGCAAATCGAAAGTGGAAAAGTTGTCGACAAGAAAGCTAAGAAGTTCGAGAGCAACTATGTTCTAAAGAGTGAAGTGAGTTACAGAAATCAAAATTTTGAAAAATAGTTTTATAAATGAATGAAAAACAAAAACATATTGTTTTTTTAGACACAGAAGTAGTAACATTAAATTCTCTTAATATATATAGGTTGCCACATTTTTCGTCGTAGTGATGTGTATACTTTTCATCTCTTACACTTTTCACTGCACATGGGTTACGGCAGAAGCTTACAGCTCGCCCAGCATTGTATTGTCCGCACGATCGCCTGACGGCGGACGGATGATTTTTGATGATTTCAGAGAAGCTTATTATTGGCTACGTATGAACACTCCTGAAGTAAGCGGTTCCAGTACTTAACAAATAATATATAAATTTGTGTAATAAAGTTATATATATTTATTATTTTGCATCACCATCTGCATTGACTCTTAAAAGTTTTATTTAAATTTTTCAGTTTTTTTACAAGGAAAATTCTTGAAAAACAAAGACCAAGAGAAATTTCTCTTGTTGCGTTTACATATTCAATTGTTTTCAGAATGCTAAAGTGATGTCTTGGTGGGATTACGGATATCAGATAACCGCAATGGCGAATCGTACTATTTTGGTAGATAATAACACATGGAATAATACGCACATATCAAGAGTCGGTCAGGCAATGGCAAGTTCCGAGGAGAAGGCTTATGAGATCATGAGAGAGTTGGATGTCAACTACGTTCTTGTGATTTTTGGAGGACTTACCGGTTACTCGTCGGATGGTAAATCTAATTTGACGTGCAACAACCAATATAAGTAGAGTCAGTTTTGAAAAAAAAAATAAATAAATAAATAGACTGATTCTGAAAATAATATAAAAATATTTTACATTACAAAGTATTTATAATTGTTGTACATTTTGTACATCTCAGATATAAACAAGTTCCTATGGATGGTGCGCATTGGTGGAAGTACGGAGAAAGGAAAATCTATAACCGAATGGGATTATTATAACTCCGCGGGCGAATTTCGAGTGGACAAAGAGGGATCCCCAGTTTTGCTCAACTGTCTCATGTACAAAATGTGTTACTACAGATTCGGCCAAGTCTACACAGAAGGCGGTAAAAGACTTTCTCGCTATTATTATAGATTTTTACAGGTGTGTGGGCGGCAATGTTTATTTTATTGAAAAAATTAATATTGCAAATAGGTAAGCCGTCAGGTTACGACCGAGTGAGAAATATGGAGATCGGAAACAAAGATTTCGAATTGAACACGCTGGAGGAGGCATATACCACGGAACACTGGCTCGTACGAATTTACAAAGTGAAGGATCTACGAAACAGAGGGGCTTAAATGTTATTCCAACATTCTAATTTGCATTTGGTCACATCTATTGCCATAACTTTGTAAATTTTTTGATATTTACGTTCGCGCTTAGATACGAATTTCGCAATTCGGTTTATTTAGCGGTCGCGACAGTCAGACTGTAAACGAAATTTTTATAAAACTAAAAATTACGTAAAGATAAAAAAAAAGAAAAAAAAAAAGAAACGATACCAGTATATCGATACTTGCAGTTTATTGCAATTTTGAAAAGTTGTATATTTAGTATGTATGTATTTTGACAGTAAGCCTGTTAAAACATCGTATATGATATATCGAATAACATGACTAGTAATGTATGTTTGTTTATGAATATTAGCACATATGCAAGTGTATTACAAACGTAAGAGAAGATAGTCGTCATTTCCGTGAAATAGGACGCGTTCGCTTTGGACGCTTGCGCGCTTTGATGAGCGTCAGTACGTCTTTTTATATAGTTCTTTAAATGTAGAATAAAGATAGACCGACCGGTCGAAGCGCGCAAGCGCCTAAAAACGAACGCAACCATAACGTTGCTTCTATTTACGCGCGCTAAATTATATCTAACAAATATAAACTATTTTAAATTCCTTTTGTAAAGAGAAAGAACGAGAGAAGTGCGATTCAATATATGAATATTTCATAAAAAAAATTTTATATATTGTAGTCAATTTTTTCTCTTTGGATATATGTAGTTAGAAAATGTTTAAGTTAGTTGTATCAAAAAAAAAAAAAAATGCTGAATAAAAAACGCGCAAGAAATATACATACACATTTTAACTTTATTTAAATAGATTATACATACCATATGTGTATCGAAATATGAGCAATATATATAGATTGCATTGTTTAAGCCAATTGAGATGTGTATAAATATGAAAGTGAATACAAAGTAGGTGGCATGTGTTTTATATATATATTTTTTATTCTATATATTATATATATTATATATATATATATATATTTAACAGACTGTAAAACTGTTAAAACTTAAGAATTAGCGGATACTTGAATAAATGTCTTTTTATTTCGAAGCTAATACAGTAACACGCGTTGTTATCTAATTGTTTTTTTTATTCCATTTTAATGTTTATTTATACAAGCAATCTCAAAACTTCTATAGCCAGTTTTTTTCCTTCTTTCGATTATTATTATTATTTTTTTTTTTAACAAAGACAGGAATGGTTTGTATTTCGTTTAAATAAATCGTCCGTTTTAAATTGCGTAGTCAAATTTATACAACTTCTTAATGCTAGAAATTATCTGCGAATAGACCACAAAGGATCCAGTTGGCTCAAGGGATCGACGACCACTCCGCTGTTGGGTTTTTCTCGCGACGACGTTGGATTCTTATTCGACGTGTTTTCATTTGTTTGCGTTTTTCCTGCAACGAACACTTTTTTTTTTGCATTCTCAAAATCTTAAAAGAAATAAATTTGACGTTCGACAATTCCCTTGTTCGAAACTTGTATCATATTTGCACACATTTAAAAAAAAAAAAAAAAAAAATTATCTCTACCTTGTTCAGACTCGGAACGTTGCATACCCACGCCAAGATTGTGAAGAAAATCGTCCGAAGGGTGGCACTGCAACTTTCTCGATGCTTTCTCCTTGTTTCCTTTGAATCCGTCGAAGTTTTCGAACGTGGAGCGAGTGGATGACAAGATTCCGCCTGATGATAGAAGATGAAGCACAATATTTCGCTTGAAAAGAATTTTTTTATCGAAAACATTTTACGACAAAAAAAAAAAACGTGCACAAATTTCTTACGTTTCATTAAACTATCCTGAGCGTGATATAACACCAATCTGTACGCAAACAACAACGATTCCTTGTTCACGACTTGTTTGCGACATTTTGCAAGACCCTTGAAGACTAGCGGTACGTCAACTATTCCGCAGCCCACTCGTATGTGACACACCGTTGCAGCGGCAACCAAGAACAAACTACTCAATGAACCACCGTCTAAACAATGTACAACGACGGGCTTGGGAGAGCAACGTCGTAACGCTTGTTCCGTCATCACGTCGCTCGAAAATGTAAGTAAGCTGCCGGGACTACTTGGAAAACCACTTGGGAGAGCAACAATGTAATTTAATTAATCAGATATGTGCGTATTGTACGAATACATACTTGAATTGCGAAGTTGACTTACTTAGAAGGCCATACGAGAAACTGCATGTGCACAATGATCCTCTCGGATTTCTTTTTGTTATGTCGTATAGAAAAAGTTCGTTGAATGTAGGACGTGTAATTAACCACTTTTTTTAACGAAATTGTAAAATTTCCTACGTCTAAGTTGTTCTCTTCGTTCAAGGGCCAATATGTCTCTCCGTTCATCTGTAAAATTTCCTTTTTAGTGCTATATTTGTCGTACGTAAAAAATAAAACAAATGTAAAAAAAAAAGAAAAAAGTAAAAATATTTTTAAAATTATATATACATACCTGAGCATCAGATACCAAACATGCGATAACTTCGCTCTCTTGTTCCCAGATCATCGTCCAAAAGACGTCCAGTTTGTCCGGTAATGGCGTTTGAGTTATGATAAACGTTGTCGGTATCCTTTGAGTGATTTCCATAATATGAGATGCGTTTATATACGACGACGAAACGTCCGACGACGTAATCTGCACTCGCGTCGTGTCGTACGGAATACAGTCGACCGTTCGATTTTCAGACGAATGTGCCAGCGCCACGGTGCTGGATTGTTTTCCATTTTCTCGTTCCTAAAAAAAAACAAAAAAAAAAACCAAATACGAAAACTATTCTTAAAAAAAAGAAACATAAACTAATCAATAAGATATATCGATATAAAGTTTTTAAATTTACGCTTACTTCAAAGTCTTGAACCTCTTTCCACTTAATATCAAGATTCGTAGCTCCGCTGAGAGTTTTTACAAGTAAACTATCTACAAATTTTTCATATTTCTCAACGTCATTGATGAACTTTTGCAACGCCGTCGGTTCTCCCAAGGGATCCTTTTTCGGTTGGACGTCGTTGTACCAAGTATCCCACACGATTTGTAAATTTTCGTGATCATTCTTATCTTCATTCTTATCAGCGGAAACTTCTTGTTCAGTCTTAAGCGATTCGTCCTGCTCGTTCTTTTCCGCCTTACCGTTTTCCGCGTTATTTTCCGTTTCTTCTTCTTTCTTCTGCACTGTGGAAAGAGGTCGCACTTCCGGTACCAGAGGTGCATGATTTATAGTGATGTCGAGGTCGGCAAGCAGATCGACATTCGACTTCAATTCGTCGGATTTGGTCGTGAGTTTCATTGGGTTTGCGCTTGTCGTTGTGTTTGTTCCGTTGTTGACGGCCTGCATATACGTCTGATTGTAATTGGTGTAATTTTCAGGCCTTGCGGTGGAACCAGCTGAAAAAAAAAAAACAAAAACAAAAAAAAAACAAAATCAATTGCAACAAATTTAACAACATTATCCAACAAATGTAAGAAAAATTAATTGCATACAAATCTACTATGAGAACTAATGTTAGCGATGATGACGTACATTGAACCTGCATTTGAAGACCGTAAGGTGTTGTGTAATACGTATCGCTTTCCGATTGAGATTGATAAACTTGGCTGTATTGCGAGGACGATGTCTGACTGACTATAGCGTTGTTGCCCGCATTCGTGTACGTCGAATTTAGATCCTGTTGTTGATAACCGTTGCCGGACGTGACGTCGGAAGGATCCACCGTCGTCTCAAACGTTTGCGAGGTCTGGATATTCTGGGAATCGGACGTATAGGCGTAGCCTTGCTGCGCCTGACCGGCGGGATTATAAGCGTACGCCACCTGCGTGCCGCCTCCTGTTCCCTGAGCGTTCTGCACGTAAGCGTAATTTTGTTGATCCTGCGAGTAATTCGGATACTGTACGTAACCCGGATAAGAAGCCTGCTGCGACTGCGGATATTGATACGATTGCGGATAACTCTGTATGGTCGTCGACTTCACGTGGCTCTGTATTATTTCGGAACCACTCGAGCTATTTAAATAAGCGTAAACGTTAGACGTGTCTCCGGGTAAAATGTTAGTCTGTTGATACGGCACACCGGTGGTGTCGTGTTGATAATTCTGATAGGTACTTGAATAATTCGGATTGACCGCGTTCGCTTGCATCTGCGCACCGTAAGCGGCGTTGTACGTTTTGTCCGCGTAATTCTGTTTACTTTGTTCCGCATTGGTTTGCTGCGAATACTGAACGGAATTGTCAACGTGCAAATTCGGGGAATACGACGTCGAAGTCTCGTTCGTTGACGCCACGGAATGTACAGGTTGATTGCTCATGCTCGGCTGTTGCGACTGCATGTATTGCGTCGGAGGCGCGACGTTTGAGTCGTACGTAGCGTATTGAACTGGATTGTAATAAGCGGCGTTCGAATAGTTTTGCGGATACGTCATATCGGAATGACCGGTTTGAGGAAGCGAATAGTTCTGCGCATTGTCCTTCATTGGTAGCTGTGATCTAACAACGTTCTGATCGCTCTGAGACATTTCCTGACTCAATGTTGTCTTTTGATTATCGTATTGTTGAACTTGATGCACAATTCCGTAAGAAGTCTGGCCGTCTACGGACGCGGTGTTGCTCGCGACAACGGAACCGATCGTGGTAATGGGAGTTTGAGCTACCGGTTGAATCTGCGTAGGTACCTCCGCGCTTTTAACCGCCATGGAAGTTTGATCCTGATTAAGAACGTACGGCGTTGCGACATTGTAACCACCGTAATTCGTTGGTGACTGATAAGAATCGTACTGCAAAGCGTTGTTGGAAACATTGTAGGTGGAATGCGAGATACCGCGGTATTTGTCCTGTCCGGTGGCGGACATGGATAAGGTTTGTTCATTCGGCAAATAGGAACTTGCGGGATACTGTGCATTCGAATTCGACGCAACCGGTACGGACATGGCCGGTTGCTGATACGCGTTCGTGGTACTTGCGCTAGTAATCGGCAAGTAGTTTTGATTTATCGCACCGCTCGCGATCTGATTTTCGTAATACGTCTGAGCGCCATAAGAGTACGGAGAATTGGTTCTGTAATCATTGTACGCTGCGGCGTGATAGGGTTGCGACGATTTCACGGACGAAGACGACATTTCTGACGGAGGTATCGAACTCGGAGACTGAATCAAATTCTTATCGCTCATGTCGGTTGTCATTGGTTTTTGTACCGAGTCCGCTTGCATTGTCCCAAGCATTGCATTGGTACGTTCTTTGTAAAAGTTGTAATAAGGATTCTGATAACCGGTAGCGTTCTTTTCCGTTGCTTTGCTGTTCAGATAATCCTTCAATTTCGGACCGGAACGTGGACGGCCTTGGTCGTAAGTTGACGGCATTGACGATACATCAGTCTTGTCGTACGTATTCTTACCACTGTCCTGCGCGAGTATCTGCTCTCGTTCTTCCTCTTGCACCTTGCACGTACTTTTAACTCGTTGTAGCAACTTCGATACGTTTATTTCTAATTTTCTGTAAAACTCTAAACCTTTGCTCGATTTCGCCAACAGATCTTCATAAGCGTCGTAAGAATTGATCAAAGACGATACTGTGATTTCTCTGCGTTTTAATATGTCCTCGATATTTTTCCGTGTATTAGCGGTTTGCGCGTAAACGTCCGTTAAAGCTGCCAGTATGTTATCTTGCGCGGCGAGATTTTGCTCTATTAAATTTATCTATAATATGAAATAATTTTATTTTAATCATATGTGTATTAAACAACATATAAAACATTAACATTGTCGTGTTACTAACCAAACTTTGATGCTTGCCAAGCTGATCCGCAAACAAACGATCCAGAGGAGCGCATTCGGATGTTGCCGTGACCAGTAAACGTGTTAGGTCGTCCTTGGCAATTTGTTCTCGCAACTCGGTGTGTAAATCGAGTCTCTGTCTTCGCATTTCATCCACTTTGTTCAATATACGCTTCAGCTCTTTAGTATGCATTTTTTCAATTTCTTTCGCATTCTGTGATTTTTCAGAACCTTGATCTAAATAAAATACAATTAAACGAAACGTCATATTTTATGTCTCAACTTCCTTTTTATTCGGTATTAAAAAAATGATGTATAAAAAACTTACCTAAGTGATACATGCTCGGTGAGGGAATATGCGTCATTAGGTCCCCCAACGGTTGCGCGAGAATTTTCAAGTTCTTCACATGCATTGTCACCGCTTTATGAAGAGCTTGATTGCTTTCGGACGCTTTGTTATGTGCCTCTTCGTATTTTTTAGCCTCTCTAGTTAAATCAGTCGCTACTATCGATGGCGGTCTTTTACCTACCGCATCTTGATATTGCTTTTCTCTTAAACACATTAAAAGATAAACTATTACATATAAAACTGCTTATTTTTTTTCACACACAAAATAATGAATCTCGAATACATTTATGTAATAATGTTCAATGTTGGAATTTTTTTTTCGTTTAAAATCTCAGAATGTTTCTTCAAATATAAATGGGGGGTTTTTTTTTAAAAAGATAATTAAAGTCGTACTTCTGTTCCTCGTCCAACAGAAGTTTGAATATTTCCTTCAGTACTTTCTCAACATCTTGACTCGTTTCGGATAACTTCTCCATAATATCCACCAGATCCTGAATCACATGTTGCTTCGCATTGAGAGCCGCACATCGTTCGGCCAATTCGTCCGGGAAAGGTAGGCCGTCCCATTCTGAAGTTTGCACATCAGGATCCCATAAATTCAGATGTTCCAGTTTCAAAGAAGTTAAGTAAGTGTTAAGGTATTGATCTTTTTCATCTATTTTTGCTCCAATAAAACGCAATATCTTGGCTTTTTCTTCCGAATAAAGAGAATTTGCTTCATGCACCTTCATAGGAACTAATCTGAAAAAAATATATAAAACAATATATTCAACTTCAAATTTCTCCAAGTTATTTGCAATGAGATAAAAAATATAATAATAAAACCTTTTTTATGAAAAAAAAACACTAATGTTAAATATAAATTACCTTGCAAATATGTCTTGTCCTGACACCTCTGGATCATTTATATTAAACGATATCCCTTTGACTAGAGAAGCACCTTTCACTGTGGGAAGCATTTCCTTTTCGGGCACTTCTTCGTGATAGATGAACTCGTTTTCGTTCTTAGCCGCCTTTCTCTTGCCTTCGATCACGTCGTTCGTAAACGTAAGTGATTCTTCCACCGCAGCCTTTTCCTCTTTAGAGTTTGAGAAATCGCAAAATGTATGCGCCTCGTTGAGAGACGCTAACGCAGCATTATAAAACGCCACTCGTTCTCCCATCTTTCTCTGCTCTTCCGCAGCGAGACCCTGATAGAGATACGTAACCGCTGAGTGATACGCTTTTTTAAACTTAACGTATCGTTTCCAGCTCTGCAAAAATTTGTGTCACGGAAAGTTTGAAGAATAATTCTCATTTTTATCTATTTTAAAAGTTCATAAAAAATGTATGTAATATAGAACGCAATATAAACTACAACATAACTCTCACCTTATAAAGCTTAGACCCTACGGCATCGAACACAACGGTTCCTTCATCGCTTCCACCTTGCTCCAATGTGTCCAGTGCCATCGAGTAGTAGTCCACTATTTGCTTTGCTACTTTTGCTGTGTAATACATACATCTTGTACAAAACTGAACAGTTAATGTATAAAACAATCAATCAAGATTAACATTCTAATGACGTACCCACAATCGTCGGCTTCCGGTTGTCCAGCATGCTTTTTTCCAATATACATTCCTGAGCTTGCGCCAGACAAAGCTGGTGCATAAACGTCATCAATTCCGATGCTAAATCCATACCAGACGGTTGGGAGTAACTGTTTTTAAAATGTTCGCAAGCCCAGGCTGCGCATTGAAAATGAGTACAAGCCATCTTCATTCCATCGGCGCTGTTTCTTTCAGTACGCGCACCCAATTGACTGTGCATTGCACCAATGTTGAACAAAATAGACATTATCTCAAAACGAATATTAGCCAGTACGCACACTACATTTGTATAAGAGTCTTTCCTAAAACAAAACAAAAAACACAACATAGTATGCAATTATTTTCAATTAAATATTATTCAATAAATTTAAGCGTACTTATTATAGAAGTTTGATACTTTGTACCGTTCACACTATTTAAGTACAATAAAAAAAAATATATATCCTATACCACGTAAATGTAACCGCAGCTGGTCCGTCCTTGCCCATGGGAAATCTGCTCTGAAGAAAATGCAACTGACAGTAATATTTCTTCAACAATACACAACCAGCCATATCAATGGGTGGCCTAACTGCCATCGAGCGTAAGGTCTCCAACTGATGTATCTCATTGTTGTATGATTCGGGATCTTCGTTGTAAAAATCTCGTATGTACTGCAAAAAAAAAAAAATGTAAACAAAAGAAATAAATATCTATATGTATACATACGGATATAAATCTCTTGTACTAAAAATAATCAATTAGCTCTTATCAGTACGTATAGATACAATGACACCCCACATAAATTCCTACGTAACGTAGATCCTGCAGACCAACTAATTGGATAAAAACAAACGGTGAAAATAAATTTAGATACATAGCCTGTACCTGTTTGAGTTTTGGTCCGAAAGTTGTAGGTTCCGGACTAACTTGCATCTGAAAAGATATCATTGGCAATCTCGGCACTGCCTCCATGTCGGCTCCGTTTGCGGTTTCAATTCTCAGTATACGTCAAACTGTGTAGAACACTGACAGTCAATCATCTGTCAAACGCACGTATCGGAAAATGGATTCAACGGTGAACGCTCATAGATCTGTCACTTGTGTATTTGTGACGAAAGATCGCGGTGCCTCTTTGAGGTGCGTACTCAATGAAACTCGTGAGGTGGTTTCATATGAAAGCGATCACGGAAATTTAACAGGTTACAACAAATTTAAAAAATTTCACGTTCGGAATTTCACGATCGGAAAAACAGATGTGATGAAAGCGGACTTCATTTTTTACATCAAAGTCGAAAAATACAAAAGAAAGAGAAATGAATTTATTGTCAAAGTTTTTTTTATTGCAAATGAGTTACGAAATCGATGACCAATTCGATATGAGAATCACCGTCTTAAAGGCCGTTTCGTATGACATATATATACGTATAGAGTGCGTTCACTTCTTTCTTTCTTTTGGCATGCCCCCTACTGGAAAGATAACAAATCGTATGTGGTAATAATACGTTACCTGAGCGCTAGATGGCGCTAGATAAAACTTTTAAAGGTCCAGGGAGAAAGATTAAATAGACAGATAGCACATGTGTAAATCAATAAATAAATCAAATACAATACATGTATAACAAAATTAATGAAAAAATATAGAAATTTTCTGTCTTGTTTTCTAATTTGATAAATTTAACAAAAAGTTCAATTTGATAAAATTTGATAAAACTATTCAGAAAATTAATGAATTTTTAATTAAAATATTAACACTTGTTTTTTGTTTAAATCTTTACGTTTTATTTTTTATATACTCTAACAAAATATCACATATTTATTAAATATTGTCTCATTTATTTATTAAATATCGTATCTTAATTTTTCGTTTATTTTTTGTTTTGTGCGCATCTGATTAGAACAATTTTCAATCAAATTCGTAATTGAAGATACAAACTCTGCACCTGTCGCGCAAGAATCTCATACACACACACACCTCGGAGTCGGTTTCTGAAGAAATTACTGATGTGTCGGAAAAATAAGTAGCTTTGAAAAATTATCATTTAAAAAGAAGAGATCGAAAAAGCGGTTATTATTTAATATCACACATTTAGCGCGGCGTGTTTTTATCTCGAAGTCATTTCCGCGGGATGCCGCAGTATCCTTTCGGATCGCGGACGAGTCTCGTGGTCGTGCGACTTTTGTCTATCTAGTTCGTCGAGAGTACGTTCGACGTCAACATCGATTTAAAAAAAAAAAACACAACAAAACGATGACACGACGAACGGTGATCGTCCTGCTGCTGTTCCTGACGACGCGACTCCTCGCGTCCTCGCAGTATCGAGACCGGGAAAGTCTTTGCGAGTCCAAGCAGACCTGCTCGGATTGCCTGCAAACGCCGCATTGCGTCTGGTGCTCCGCGACGGTAATAAATATTTATAAGCGTCGTTAAAACAAACGGGCACACACGCTAAAGGACCCGGACTTGTATTCCATGAGAATCTACAAGAAGAAGAGACGATCTCTGACTAAAACTCTCCTACGAGATCTCTCTCATATTGCCGATGTATTTACGTCACTCTACCGGTGATTCATATATCTGTGAAATCACACAATTATATTTTGCGCTCGCGCGCGCTCAACGTGTGACACACAACACGTGCATAAGTGCGCACTTGTTAATTTTCGTTTAATTTTTCGAGATACTTAAAAAAAAGGATTTTGAAAAAAAGAATTATCATATGTAATTAAAACGAAGCCTGTTTGTACCGAGATCTGTAAATTTACGCAAAATCTCTGCGAGAGAAACATGTTTATATGTTCATATAATTAATATTAATTTCTAAATAAAATACGTTTGTGGTTTTAAAAAAGGCGTCTGAAAATAACGACAAGGGTCCTCCGCTTCGCTGCGTGTCGCATCAAACGTACTCGAAGGAAAACGATCTCTGGTGTCCGCCGTCGAAGGTTGTGCTCTACAAGAATAAGATGACTATTCGCGAAAATCGAACCTTGTCATCGGACAAGAAAAATCCGGTTCAAATGGAACCTCAAAGAGTGCACCTGAGTCTCAAACGAGGTGAGAGAAGAAAATTGTATCTGCATTTTTTTTTCTTTTGGAAGACAAACGTATATTTAACACACACATTTGATTGAAACTTTTTTAATTTGAGAAGACGTAATGAAAAAAAAAATTATTAACAGGCGAGGAACATCGTATAACTTTGAAATACAGTCCGGCGGAGGATTATCCCGTGGATCTGTATTACCTTATGGATTTGTCCTCGTCTATGGAACCGTACCGAGACAAATTGTCGAAACTCGGACTGAAGTTGGCCAAAGCCATGCAAGAGATCACGTCGAATTTTCGCATCGGGTTCGGCAGCTTTGTGGATAAGGTCGTTTTGCCGATGACCAACACGCAAAAGGACAAGTAATTATAACGTTTTATTTCGTGTGAATCGTCGCGACGATTTTGTAAATAAAAAAAAAAAATCGCGTTGAGAAGAACTTTGTGTTCGCGTATTTAATGCAATCAACATTTTAGATTGGAGTCTCCCTGCACTTTGAAAAACAACAAGCCATGCGCGCGGCCTTATAGCTATAAAAACCAAATGCCTCTCACGGAAAATATAACTCTGTTTGAGGTAATTATTGCGACGTGATTGTTGTGTTCAAAAAAAGAAAGTAAATTTTTCAACGTTTGTTTTCAACTCTCTCTTCGTGGACTGATTTTTAAAACAGCCTACCACCAGTTGAACAGACTGGGCCTGTGAGACCCGCGCGACTTTAAAATCGAATATCTCTGCAAAAAATCGATATTTCAATTTTTTTTAATCAAAAGTTCGAACGATTCTGCGTCGATAAAAAAAAAAACAAATTGAAAAAATCTCTAATAGTTTCGAAGCGTTTAAAAAAAAAACTAATTATAACCAGAGACACCGGTTTGAAATTTTTGAACGAGTCTGAGAGATGCCATCCATGTCAGTCCACGAAGGATTAATTAAAAAATTATAAACGCATTTTTTTCCTATATTCTACATTTCGTGTGTGTGTGCTTATATTCTAGGACACCCTGTATATGCTTAAAAATTTTAGGCCCAAGTACAGGCAGCACCGATATCGGGTAATTTGGACGGTCCCGAGGGCGGGCTCGACGCCATGATGCAGGTCATAGTATGCACGAAGGAAATCGGCTGGCGCCAAAAGGCACGTCATCTTATCGTGTTCTCGACCGACGCTGTGTTCCACGTCGCCGGAGACGGTAAAGTACGTGAATTTATCAATCATGCACCACAAGAGAGTTTGACCGGTCGATTAAGATTGTAAAAATGTGCAGCTTGAAGATAAAGAAAATTCTATCAGCTTGCAGGAATAATCGAGCCCAACGATTGCAAATGTCATTTAGATAATGAAGGATTTTACACGCATTCTCTCCTGCAGGATTATCCGTCGATCTCTCAGGTAATATCTTCTTTGCGCGCACAAATTGCGAGAGAAATGTCAAAACTCAAGCGGTTTATTTATTTACTTCGATACCTGGTTTATTATTATTATTATTTTTTTTTTAGATCAATAGAAAAGCGCGCGAGCACAATATAAACATTATCTTTGCCGTGGCCGACAAAGACGCGACTTATCAGCGATTAAGCCAGCGTGTTAGCGGATCTTCAACCGGAACTTTGGACAACGATTCCGAGAACGTCGTCGCCTTAGTCAGGGGCGAATACGAGGTGTGTGTGTGTGTGTGTGTGCAAGACACAATGTACTCGTTAATTAATCGTGTATATTTTTTTATTCATACCATAGAGACAAATATATATGTCTGTGTAACAATTTTTGCAGAAACTGGTAGATACGGTGACGCTAATTGATACGGCGCCGAAAATGATCGACATCAAATACTTCTCCAGATGTTTGAACAAAACGGGAGAAATGTTGGAGCGTCAGGAGTGCGGAGGAATTCGCGTTGACAACGTGATCGAATTCGAAATTGCGCTCAAAGTACGCGAATTAATAAACGAACAATTTATATTTATATTATTCTGATTGATGATCACATTGTTGCACGGTTTTATTTAGATGACGGAATGCCCAGCAGATCGAACGGAATGGAGTCAAATCATAGAGATAAAACCCAGAGGTATAAACGAGAGTCTGATCATTGACCTGGAACTCATGTGCGATTGTTCTTGCGAGAGGCCCGGACATTCGGTTTGTAGAAGTTTAGCTTATAGTTGAAAATAATATAAAGACAAGTGTTATTTAACTTCACGTTTGCCCAAAATGGAAATTCGAATATATCGACTTTCAAAACGGTTTGTGGTACACAGGGTTATCAAGAGAATGCCGCTGAATGCAAGGGCAACGGCAAATCGGCGTGCGGCGTGTGCTTCTGCAATTCCGGATTTTACGGAAAGCAATGCGAATGCGAGGGAACTGACACTGACAGTTCGATCTCGACAGTCGACTGCAGACCCGACAACAACACCGAATTCTGCAGCGGTCACGGCACGTGCAAGTGCAACGTTTGCAACTGCGACAAGCGATCGAACAACCCGCACGAAATGTTTTACGGGAAGTACTGCGAGTGCGACAATTTCTCTTGCAAACGCAGCGGCGGTCAGGTATGTGTCCGCGCGCAAATGTAAATACACGTACGTGCAAATATATTTCATTAAAAAAAAAAAAAAAAAAAAAAAAAAACATTTAACAAAAAAGAAAGTATGTTAACATTCAATAATCAATTATATTGAATATCTGTAATCAATTATTGAATCGCGTAATAATATTCAAAAATCAATTCTCACAATCTAACGTCATCTCAAGGACAAAGGATTTTTTAGAAAGTATGAGGGGGGATGAATAAAAATTCTCTTTATCACTTTTCAATACGGTCTTCTTTTGTTTCAATTGAATATTCACATTGACTCGATTATTTACGAAAATTGCTTGCGCGCGAATAACGGAGGAGGTTGCGGAGAATTACCTATTATCGCGCATGCATTTCCGTGTTCTCACCTGATAGCCGGTCTTAACAAATTCGCGCGCGGAAGTTCTACGCGCGCAATCTTTCTCCTCCGAGCGAGCGCGGTAGCCGCCGTTTATAAGGGCGGTAGGACAAATTACACGCTTTTGTACGTATACTCCATTATGCGCCTCACCGGTTCGTCTCTCTTCTTTGTCCGCTTTAAAGGTCTGCGGCGGACGGGGCAAGTGTGAATGCGGTACCTGCAATTGCCTGCCTGGATGGGGTGGCGAGACGTGCGACTGCAAGGAGACCAACAGCACATGCATTCCGCCGTCGGGCGGGAACGTCGAGATTTGCAGCGGACGCGGCGACTGCATCTGCGGCAGCTGCCACTGTCATGAGCGAGACAATATCCGATATTCCGGACAGTATTGCGAGGAGTGCCCGGTTAGTACCCGCACATAACAAAATTGAATAAATATTTAATATACGTGACGAGAGAAAATAAATCGACAAGCGCGTTTTCTTTTTTTTTTAGATTAAAAAACTAAGATAAAGAATAACATCGAGAGTTCGCTTGTTTTTTTTTATTCAAGATAATTACCGTCAAGAAGATACACATGTTTCTCGAATCGATCTTGCGGATCTTCGCGGTAAAAGCGGGCTTCCTTTGACGAAATAAAGAAAAACTACAATACATCAGTAATCGGCAACTTCATATGCACCTTCACAACCTAATATTCAAATTTTCTCCCTAATTAACTACCCGCATGCGATTTTACACAAGATTATGTGTTTTAATGTTGAGCCGCAGAACGCAGCGTGTGTTTACACGCGTGCAATTGGAATAAAAAAAAAAATACGTTGTTTATATCTGTTACGTTATTTCGTAGACGTGTCCGGGACAACGATGCGAAGAGCTGAAGGACTGCGTGGAGTGTGTGGCGTATGACGCGGGACCGCTCGCGAAGGAGAATAAATGCGACTTGTGCATGCACGACATTGATATTGTTGGTAGCTCTTCTTTCTCTAGATAAAATCTACTTTGTGCAAGCTGCAAAAAGATCGATTAATTGGCGATACAACGCTTATTATTCTGCAGGTCGATGATATCGAGGAGGATCCTGCAAAGGACGAGCGGAACAACGCCCGCATATGTCCAACACCCGGTGACGAGGGCTGCACGTTCGTTTTCAAATATCAATATCATAGAAACGGAACCGGCGGGGACATCAAAATCTTCAAGATTCAAGCTCAGAAAGAGAGAACCTGTCCGACCCCTATTAATGTCTTCGGTAAGTTTGTTTTTCATCGTATTACCGCGCGTGAGAATTATATATACTTTGTCCGCGCGCCACAAACTGCTTAATTTCTCATTACAGTTTTTGTTTGCTTTCAAATAAATACAGATCTCAAAATTTTGTATCACTACTTAATAAAAAACAATTCCACTGGTCGGACACTTGCTATGAAGAAATAATTACAACAAAATATTTAAAACGTTAAGAAGAAAATTGTGAATATTCAAGACAGTGTCAGACCGAGGGTTTGACCTCCGGTTCGGTGTGAAAAAACTTCAAATTTATCCAAATCAGAACCGGTTGTGTTTTGCGAATGATTATATGTTTTTTAGTCAATGCGTATATAATCATTGCCCTGCAAGCGATTCCGATTACCCGTTTTTTCACAAACGAATTTAAATTTGCTGTTGTTGAATAATATTTATATATCTAATAATTATTTTTTTAAACAAAGATATTCGGTTATTGGGATATTTATCTTATCTGTTTTTTTTTTTTTTTTTTATAAGAAACTATTGTTTCCGACACATATTTATATATAACACATGTTGTTTAATATAGTCGAGAAGTGATGTGCAAGAAGATTACATGGATGAACTTGGAATCTATGAACTTAGGAATTTAATTTCTTCCACAGGTATTGCTCGGAACATTGTCATAAGTACCGTCATCATCGGTTTCTTGATTCTTTTCATTTGGAAGATCCTTACGACGATACACGACAAGAGAGAGTACGCCAAATTCGAGAAGGAACGAGCCCTCGCCAAGTGGGATCGGGTGAGTCGTTGTTGCTTCCAACTACGAAATAAACTATAACAAAATTGTCATCGAGGAGAATCAAATAATGTCGAAATATGTGATATTTCAGGGTGAGAATCCTCTCTACAAACAAGCGATATCGACTTTCTCCAATCCAACGTTTAGCGAAAACCAGAATGAATAGCAATTAATAATTTATAACAATTTGATATTTTTTTTTTGTTGTGAAAATTTTCGCGTGTAAATGAAAACTCCAGATATAGTTTTTTATTAAAATTAATATATAAATGAATGTGTGTTCTATACATTTTAATAAATTAAGTTATTTGAATTCGCGATTAAAATAATATACATAATATATTATTGCTATAGTGCGTTATTTAATAAACAATGTAAATTAATTTAACAAATTATGATAACATGATAATTTAATAAAAAAAATATTCTTAGAGATCGTACGCGAATAGAAATGTATCATGTGATTACTTGATTACTTAATGAAGGAGATTTCAACGCCTGCCAGAATGTCTACCGGATCCGGCGACTAGCGCCACACTAAGTGAGCGCATCGAACAAGCGCTGCAATGGGCGCCATGTTGTGTTTAATTGCCGCATAATGAGACGACCAATCGGACAGCGAGAATCACGCACTCGTGTTGTTTCTCGCAAAAAACGATCAAAAAAAAGAGCCTTCTCGGCTCTTTCTCTCTCTTACCCTTCTCTCGTACGTCGAGAGCTCGTGTGTAATAACGAGTTTTTGCTCAAATACTTCCTGTTATTCCCCCATTTACTGCGAAATATAATTTATACGTAGGTTTTCCGACGAGATTTTTTTCATACTTCCGCTTTATCGTCCAGTAAAAGACGTTTTTTTTTATTCCGATCGGCAATTAGCGAGGGAGTTGAGCGTTTGAGCAATTCCAATTTCTTATTTGGTTGTTTAAAAAGCTAATTAGCGAAGAACGCGCTTGTGTGTATCTTTCTGTCAATTCGGATAATTATTTCCACACATCTCGCGTTGTCGCTTCGTCGTCTAAGAGGAACGAGAATTGCAAAATGAGACGCGGAGAAAGAGACGGGTGTATATTGCCGACGCGCGCGATCACTCGTAAATCAATTCTAAATTTGATCCGGGCCTCTTCGAGAGAGTTGAGATAGATACTGCCCTCTCCCGACCCCCGATTGTTTCGAATATCCTCTGGCCTCGTACTTTATTGCTTGCTACGTGTTCACGAGAGACTAGCAGAACTGGCCTCGGCTTGTAAGGGCTCGTAAATTCGTCACCGCACTCGGCTCCCGCCACAAAACCCCGGGGCAAATCGCGCTACATTTCCCACAGGAAACTTTAAGTATCGCCTACATTCGGTGCGAGTTTGTTGTTTGATTAATCATTAATCAAAGTTTTCGTTAAAATTAAGAATAGAGAGAGAGAGAGAAAGAAACAACATTTTAGTTAGATAACGCGCGTGGACACGAACAGATGCAGTTTCTCACTGCATCGAGTTTAAAAAAAAAAACGTCAATTTTTCCGCGCATTATGAGATTTACGAGCGAATGTGGGTTTTTTTTTTTTTTTTTCGTTACACACAAGATATCCTGTCAGTACGTAGCGATGCAGGGCAGGAATCAAAATTTGTCGAACGTCTTTGTTTTACCTGCGAAAGCTTGTTAGTTGGCTCTGAGCCATCAGTCACGGTGCCTTTAACGCCTCGTAAAACCAAGATACGCACCGCTCAAAATAGCCGGAGCCACGCCTATTACCTGTGTGGCGAAGCTGCGGGATCATTTGGGCGACTTACACTCCGCAAATGGGGCCGCGTTGATGAATTAGCGACTCGATTACGAGTCGACGCGTTTTTTTTTTTCGAAACGATCATCCATATTCCCTCACTCGCTTATAGTACTTATCTCTTACCCCTAATTAGTTTCCAACGACATGTGACGTATGTGTGTATTTTCTTTTTTTTCTTTTTTTCTTTTTTTTTTTTAACGAATCGTAATCGATCGTGTCGTTAGAGGCTAAAAAATTTATGTAGCAGTTGAGAGCGAATATAGTAGAAATTATAGTTTTTTTTTTCGCGCGAAAGTGCAACAACCGCGATAGAGACGTAGTAAGTCGTGAAATATACGTAATCGACAATTTATTCCGAATTAAAGGGACAAACATCGAGATATTGTTGTCAGAGATTAAAAAAGTCGATCTCGAGATTTTCAAACTCGCTTCCACACTCGTGGATCGGACCAATCTATTTTTTTTTTTTTCTTAAAGACGCATTGCCGCGATCTTCGTATAGCCGGACCTTAAATATGGATCTCTCAGAAAACCACCCTAGGAAAGGGGAGAGAGAGAGAGAGAGAGAAAGAGAGAAAGAGAGAGAGGAAAGGGCCTGCATACTAAATCATCGCCGCACGTCCGTTTCTTTACATTGCGCAGATTTTATTGATTATTTTACGGCCGGGAACATTGTAAATCTCTTTATCCCGCGGCCCTTCTGGCACTATTGCGTGGTGGTCACCATTGGACGCCCATAGCGCCAATTATGAGAGTCGAGAAGCATTGTTGCCGTGTTCGTCTCTCGATACGAACAGTATAAACGTTCCGTATAAGACCATTTCGCTTTGCAAAATAAAGTACACCTTACCGAAGAAATTTACGAACACAGCATCTCATGAAGCAAATAAAATTTGGAAAATCGAGAGATTGTACTGTTTCTTTAATACACGTTTTTTATATTTAACTTCCGAAGAAAGAGAGAAACAGAGAGAGAGAGAACGGGATAAATGTGTTGCGCGCGATGTGATTTACGCGCCGTTTGCGCCGAACAATGTTGTTCGTTTTCGCGAACCGTTAATGGCCGCCGCCGGTGCGGCTTAATTACAACCAAATACTGATCCAATCAGACCACACCGATGTGTTGTCGGAGATCGCCTCCAAGTTTTCCAGTCCAGTTTCGGCATATTGTCGGGGAGATGAACACGGGAGCGCATCTATCTCGTCTACCTGTCTTTCTTTTACCGCGCGCGCATATTCTTTCTTTTAATGTCGTCATGGGCGCCGCCATGAAGATCGGGTCCACCGGTCCATCGAGCGAGAGAAACTCAATTCCCGCCAACGCGACACAAAGCTCCGGACCAATATCCCTGATGAACTCTTTACTGCGAGGTAGTTGTGACGGCGGAGATGCGTGTGTTCCTTTTTTGTTTTTTTTTTTGTTTTTTTTTTTGAATTTATACATATATATATAGCGAGGCGAAACGAGGCAATCGCGGAGAGGGAATTATGTTTCGCCGAACTTATCGATTCCAGTTAATTGGACCGGAGCAACGGAACGGTTTAACACTTATTATTACGTTGCGGGTGTGTCCGGCGCGCGAGTTGCGACCGCGCGCGAATGATACAGAGGATAATGAAAGAACGCGTAAATACGTGTAGAGAAGAAATTCGCCAACGGACGAATGTAATTTGTTTCTGTGAAATGCGTTCGAGCGTTAATATAAAGAAAGCCGTTGAACGTATTTTATTACATTCGCGGGCCAATGAGCGCACAATTGAGACACACGTCAAAAACGAAATTAATTACTTTCACGTGATCTCGAACGTATTATTTTGTTGAAAGATTTGATAACTAAAATTTAATAACAAAGTCGAATTTTAAATTTATAATTTCAAAACAGTTTATTTTTCTTCCGTGCAAAGCATCGACAAAGAAGGGAGAGGAAAAGTATTGCCGAACGTATATCTTACGATACATTCTCTTCTTTGCTTTTCCTCTTTTGTGTCATCTCGGTGAGAAAAATTTTTAGCGACGCCCATGACTCGTGTGCTGCGTCGTAACCGTAGCGCTTCTCAACGCGTTCGAGTGCTGCTGCTGCTGTTGCTGCTGCTGCTGCTTCTGCTGCATCGTCGTGTATCTTCTCTTCGTGGCCCGATGCGGGCTGAGGCTCGTTAGCGCGCGCCCGTAAATCAAGCCGCAGGGGTGCCAACCCGCTAATATAGCCGGGGTTCCCCCGAGATAGGTGGAACGCGTTCGCGCCGCCGCCGCGCACGGTAAACGCTCGGTATATCTCATCGATAATGAGTTTGTTAAATGGATTAATATTGCACGCCCCTACCCCCGCTCTCTCTCTCTCTCTCTCTTCCGCTTAACCGTCTTTCTTGTGTTTTATTTGACATTTCCCGAGAATCACCGCGAGAGTGACTTGTAATATTATTCTGCTCAGACAAATTGATGAGAACTTTCAAAATTTCTCTCTATAGTTATATATATATATATATAATTTATCTCGTATATTATTTTATCATCAGACATTATTATAAGATCGCAAAAAAATAATCTACTTTTTAACACACTTTTTACATATAAAAATGTTTTTCTCTCGTACGTGGCAATAATTATTTTAATAAATTAGACAAGCAAATTGTATGGTTTATTGACAATTTAATGATTTTCATATTCTCGTTACATTATGCTGACGCAATTTCGTGAAATTTGTTTGGAATATCGATCGCCGTCCGCGATAACGATCCCCCGGGCTTAATGAATATCGAATTATGAGCGCCGGTTCCATCGTGACTTGAAGTGATGTGAGCACTAATGTCGGACTGCTTCTCCCGGACCACCAGTAAGTTTTATTTCGGCTGTGAATATCGACGAACGAACATGAGCGCGCGCACGAGTTCACGAATCTGGTGCGCTTCCGAAGCCAATGCTACTCGCGTATATGTACCCAGCGTGGATAATTAATGGAGCCGGTAATGAGCTGATTATTATTAATAATATTTAGCCGAGGTTAAGCCGGGGCGACCCCGCCGCGGTGGAGCCCGACCGGCCGTTAATTGAATCTGCCAATCATCGTAATGAGCGTCAGCGCCGGATCTGTTGTCCGTTCTCCGGCGTTGCTGCTCTTCAAGAGTGCCTTGAGAGAGAGAACTTGATGCTCGTCAGATCCGAACAAAAAATATTCTGGTCTCTCTCCCTCTCTCTCTCTTTCTCTCTCTCTCTTTCTCTCTCTCTCTCTTCTCTTCTTCTTCTCTCGCCCTCTCTCTGCTCGTCTCTCACTCGCTGTTCGTTTCGCGCCTGAAAAATGTGAGCAATTTTACTTACGCGAGCGTGTTTCTGCATAAGCGCTCGCTTAGGTCGATACTTGTTGAGAAACACCGACACGTTTCTACGGCATTTACCTTCGTCGACCGTGCCACGTACGATTAACCTCTGACTGCCATAGTTCAAATTGAGTAAAACTTAAATATTTAACGACACAAGTCGTGATACTTAGTCATTTCAGAATATAAACAAATTTACTCGTTTAAAGAACGAGGATCCTGCGGG